AAATGAAATGAGGAGAGAAGAGACGAGAAGATTGACAGTATTTCCCCTATAACTTATGTCCTGTGTGTGTGCATTGTATGACAACCGTACAAACATCTCATAATATTTTAAGAGGTCAAGTCCGTGAGGGCCTCTATTTCTGGTATTCATGTGTATCTAGGGACCTGTTGTTATCCTTGGGACCCGGCCCAGGACCAATAACTCTATCTACTAAACAAGCTTCTGCTATCTGGCTGCTTCTCCTTGAACATTTAACTCACTTGGCATTTCATATAACCCTACTCAAACTAAAACTGCTTTTTTTAATAGTCTCCAGCCTGACCTATCAACTTTTCATACACTTTACACAACTATTAGTTCCTGCTAGAAGTCATACACATATTCCTGCTGATGCTAATACTTCTTGTCATACAGCATCAACAGCAATCATTCTAAACAAATCTAACTTTCCGTGCATAAAAAGAAAGTCTGTACGATCATAAAACAAATGCCGTGTTGTAGTACTTTTTGCAGTTTTAATCGATTGATACTTCTGATGTACCATTCTGAATTACGATAAAGTTAAAACCATTAATATTAACATTAAAAAAAGCGAAAAAAACAAAAAGGAACAAAAGCTAAATTAAGACAGCTTAAAATGCTTCCTTTCAAAGTGCTTTATTCCACAAACATGACTTCATCACCTCCGTCCTTCCATCCGTATATCTGTCTCAGCTGTGTTTCTGCTCTGTTTCTCTATCACCATGGCAAATCTGTCTAATGCCAGAACAGGAAACCAGTGTGAGGGCTGTGGCGACTGCGGCCGCCGGAGAGGACATGGCGTCATGCCGCCTCCCCTCCTCTACAGTTAACTAGCTAACCACCACATGATGAATTGGTAGAAGTCAGAGTTTGTTATAAAGCAGCTGGATTCTTTTACTAAATGAAAAACAATGCAGCAGTGTTAATGTATTTGCAGTCCTCTGGTGGAAGGATGCCCTTTCTGCAACTGACAAACTGAACATCCTTTTCTTACATGGCTATATAATGCTTTCCTTTCCAGACTTTTATGAGCATTGAAAGCATTTTCTGAAATTGCTGACCCTTTATGATTCTGATTATTCTGACAGACTTTAGATCTGCTCTGTGTCTGAGCTGATGTTTTTCTCCTGACTCTGAAAAGAGTGCTTTAAGCAGATGTGGCTAGTTCCTGGTCGTTTAAACCATTATGTTCTGCTGTGTTTATGTGCTGCAACCTGATTGGCAGAGGAGATAGTGTTATCTGCTACTTAGAAGCTAAACTGCCCCCTGGCACGTCCTGCACGTTACTGCTGGACTGGTTTTACTGGAATCACTGGGTGTGCTGCCATCCTTACCAGTAAGTCTTTATCCATACATGTCCCCATGAACACAAAGTGAAAGTTTGGAGTTTACATACTTGAGTTGAGATACTGCATTTCTGTATGACTGATTATAAAATATGTAGTCAGTATAGATGCATCTCTGTGCTCAGTATGCAGTATGATTACCTCTCATGCCTTGTGGATTCAATGGCCTCCAAAGCCTGTGCATGGATGTGTGGGAGTATCATTTGCTTCTACAAATAAAAAGTATGTGCACTGACAGAGATATGCATCACTGTCTGGCTCACCTCTCTGCTTTACATAAAGATACATTAACCCCCAAAACATCTGAATCATATTTAGGATACATGGTGACACAATCCTCTGTCACAATCAGGGTTTTTGTGTTATTGTGACAATCCCAGTATTTTAAAAGATGATTATTATGAAACTTAACAAGAGAACAGTACTTGATTGGTCCTATGAAACCAACTCAATAACAACATTTCAGGAACTTGAGGAAAATTCAAACAAAAATATCTTAAACAACTTTCATAACCCAAATCCGCTGCATGAATTTCAAAGTCAAGGTATTTACACATTGATCTTTGGATGTTTACAATGCCCTTCTTTTTGAAATGATCTTACATATAAAACACAGAAGACAAAAGACACGCATATTTAGGATAAATAACTAGATAGTCCTCAAAACTACTGACTGAAAAATAGAGCGATGGCCTCTTCCCATTCGCCATCTTCTCAAACTAACTGTCCCAAATCCAGTTCAAGAGCTTTTTGGAGGAATAAAATAAAAGTATACTCACTGTGTGAAGGAATAGGTCAGTTGTCTGCTGGCTACTAGTGCAGCGTGTTGGGACGAGTGAGGATGCTTGACTGAGTGTTTGTATATGCGTCGCAGGGACCTCCCTCTAAAAAATGCCGGCTTAAAAGGAGCAGATGAGGAAAGATGACTTCACTATTCTACCAAGAGAGAGAGAAAGGGTGGGAGGGAGGCAGGAGGGAGGAGGAGGAGGTAGTGAACGTGAAGGAGAAATAGGAGGGAGTGAGGGTGAGGAAAAAAAGGAAACTTAATCCTTAAAAGGGCATGGCCTTTCAGCAGCTCTCTCTCTCTCTGTCTGTGCGTCTCTTCCCCTCACGTCTGGTTAAAAAGCCCAGCCTTATTTGGGTAGAGCTGTTCCATGTAGAGCAGAGACAGCAGCCAGGCGTTGGTTTGGTCAGCAGGAATTCTCCAAATGCTTTTGCCACATCCCTCCTCTGTCAAAGTTGCAGCAAGATGGTGAGGTGGAGGATTGAGGCTGATGGGAAGGGAGAAAGGGAGGAGTAGAGATGGAGAGAGAAGTAATAGGACTTTACAAAAAAAGAGGACAAGGATGTGGACAAAAGAATAAAGGTGTTGGTCCTATCCCACTGTAAGGAAGGAGTTATGTAAAATATGACTTAGTGTTTAGAGATGTTTGCACACCAATGGAAGATAATAGGAGAGGAGATGGGAGAACGAAGGAGAAAAGAAGATGAAGACTAAGGAAAGGAAAGGAAATGAGAAGGAGAAGATGAAACACGAGAGGAGCGAATTAACCAATCAAAGGAAGAGAGAGAAGGATAGGAGAGGAGAGGACACTGATGGGTTTAGGAAAAAAAGAACTCTCTAGACAAAAGGGATGTAAAGGGGAGAAAGAAGGGAGAGAGGAGAGGAGAGGAGACGAAGGGGTGAGAAAGATGGGAGTGAGGAGGAAATTGTCATCATAATTCAGGCAGAGAACTCCTTGTAAGTCCTGGGTCTTCTTCAGTACAACCACCTGGTGTGTGTGTGTGTGTGTGTGTGTGTGTGTGTGTGTGTGTGTGTGTGTGTGTGTGTGTGTGTGTGTGTGTGTGTGTGTGTGTGTGTGTGTGTGTGTGTGTGTGTGTGGTGTGTGTGTGTGTGTGTGTGTGTGTGTGTGTGTGTGTGTGTGGGTGTGTGTGTGTGTGCCACCACCACTTATGACATTTTTGTTCCATACCAGTCACTTTTGGGCAGCCCTGTTTGAATGAGAGAGGTGTTGATCATATGCTCATAGATGCAGTTGGCTTCACTCCTTTAGTGGAAAGCTAGAAGCTGAATTGATCGCTCTCTGGACAACATTGTATGAAACAACTTTTACACTCACTCACTGGGAAAACTTGTTAGCACACTAACACAAACCAATCTGTAATACTGGCCTTACACATCCTTATTACTCTGTGATATTAAAAAAACAACCTGGCCAAAACCACAAAATGTTTAGCTTGTTTTGTTTCTGTGATATCCCATATGGCTGAGGTCATCTTATTACATCCTGCTTTCATAAAGTAAATTAAACAAAATAATAAGGAGGAATTCGGTACTCATTATATGTTGTCCAATTATGCAACTGATTTGCTATAGATAATGAACAAACACAGGAAATGGTATTCTTCCTGGATTATGTTTTCTACTGACATAGTTAAATGTTCTTCCAGTCTGACAAAACATTTTAATACTTAACATAAGTTAAATGTTCATCGACCGATTTCATTTGTTTTATTCCAAATTATTCAACCTCAAAGCTTATGTTTAGGCCTCCATGACGCTTGGTTGGGGAAAGATGTTGGTCATGAAAACAAGTCACAGTGTCTTAAAGTAACTTTGATCACATGACTTTTCTTGAGTGATATCAATACTGTACTTAGAAGTGTATAATACTTTAGGATATGAACAATGAATCCCATTGTGTTTTTCCTGGTGAATAAAAGTGTGTTGTTCACAACCAAACACCTTACAAAACATGCAACAGTTTGACTGAGCAATGGTTTATTCGTGAGCATATATTTAAATAGTTAGGGAACAATTATATTATTAATGTCAAAGGCCTTTTTTTGCTGATCCAGTTAGTCAGACCATGATATGTGTTAGAGCTAACATTCATTTGTATTGCCACTATAAATAGAAAGCAAAACTGAAATAGTTAATCATAATTGGGACGACCCCTCCTTTTACATGTTGATGCTTAACCACTCACATAGTTGACAGTCAAAACATAAGGTTACAGTCAGCAGGTGGTTATCTTAGCATAAAGACTGGAACAAGATAATAACACAATCCACCACCTAAACTCAGGCTCACCTGGCCATAGCTATTTATTTACATAACGGACAGATATGGGAAGTATCAATCATCTTACTCTGAGCAAGAGAGCATGGACCCACAAGTCAGTGCTTCCTCACACCTCAGAAGATTCCTACAGAAATGACTGGTATGTCTAAACTCTCATAGTGTGTGTGCCTGTGTGTGTAGCATGTGTGTAAGCTACATCATGTGTCAACTTGGTCTGGCATGTGGTTCCATTAAAGGCGTTTGTTAACATTGTTTTGCGATATTGTCATGTAGGCCAAACACTAGTAGCAGAAGCGTTATGACTCTCTGTTATCATTCCCTAATTTTGTCAAAGTCTCTGACTGCTACCGATTTCCATTCATGGTCTCTGTCTCTCTCTCTCGATTAGTTCAATTCAATTCAAATAAGCTTAATTGGATGTTTATTTTTTTTTCAGTGATACTTCTATATTCAGCAATATGTCATTTAACTTTTGCAATAATGTGACTTAAACTGATAAACCAAATAGATAGATCAATAAGAAATTTGAAAATAAAATAACATCATGCTTCAAATAAACTTTTATTGTTTCCAAATCAAAACAAAGTCACACTTCCTCTGCACACAGACTGATATTGTAGTGTTGGTTATTGCCAGGCATTCTCATATATATTTTTAAATGATTCAAACATTTCTCTTTTCATGCTATCATAAATCTTAAATGCCTAAATACAAATGCACAAATCAAAGTGTGAACGACTTTTCTCGTTCACCTCAAATGTTCTAATTGAAGGTCCAGGAGTGTGAAATAATTTAATATTCATGCATATCAATGTAAGGGTTGGTGTGGGGGTACAGCATGTAACCAGTGAAGATATTTTCTGCGAGGAATTTACAGAGCTTTCTCCCGGACATCAGCTCAATGTACACCTGATCGCCTCTCTGCAGCTCCAGCACCACGCTCTGAAAGTATACACAATAAAAAGATTAACAAAGCCAGTGCAAAATCTTGATGTATTATTGTAATATTTGATCACCCGTTATTGCTTCTCTCTTTTTCACTTCTTACCTGGTTAGCATTGTCCTCAGAGTCTTCTCGATTGTGCTCCCACACGCCGACTATCCGTTCTTCATTCTTCATCAGTTGTACCTAAAGACACAACAAAACATTAAAGGTCCCCTATTATACTGTTTTTCATACATTTATTATAGTTCTCAGTTATATACAAAACATGTCTCTGAAGTGTTTGGCTCCAAACACCAAACAGATCATTGTAGCATCCCATAATCCCCTCTGTTTCAGCCCTATTTCAAAAGTGCTGATTCTGTGTCTGTTACTTTAGATGAAAATAAGGAGCCCCTCCCCACGCCCCTCTGAGAGATATTTGGTTACAACGAACACAATGGTGCTCTAGGAGGAGATTCAGGTGATAAGGGGGGGGGGGGTTACCTTGGTTGGTGATTGGCTAATGGTTACACAAGACATAGAATCGTTATGACATCATAAAGTGGCCAAAAACTGATCAGCTCATTTTCAGACAGGTTTTTATATAAATGGATCAGGACAAAAAGAGAGCGAATCTTTTTTCCTGAAACTTTCAGAATCTCTTTACACAGAGGGGACACATGTTGATGTAGAAAAGACGTGAAAAAGTGAATGTTGCATAATAGGTGACCTTTAAGTTACAAATGACTTGCTGCTGCTTTTTGAGTAAATCAGCAGAAGTTGTTCAGAAATCCTGTATTTGTTAAATAGTTTGTGTTGGGCTTACTTGATAGTACAGACTCCTCTCTTGTGAGAAGACTGAGAAGGAGAAGACGTAAACACCAGCAGCAGGGGCCGAGAAGACACCTGGAGACGGAGGAGAAGAGTTGGTGTAACTGCAATTATGAATGCTTTACACACTTTCATTGAGAATGATATAGTGAATGCCTTCATGTGTGTATGCATGTGATTCCTACCCAAGGCAGGGTTATATCCATTGTTATGGTTAAGAGTGACATGGTTGTATGGGATTGGCACGTTAGTATTGAAAGGACCAAAGCAGGCGTCACTAGATCCAGTTGAAGTGGCAATATTTGAAGCTTTGAAAGCAACCCGGACGCCACCTGGGAGTAACACAGAGAGATTTATTGTATTGTACAACAAAGTGTACACATAAGATATTTGAAGCATACTTTCTGTGGATATGTTGGTCTAAATGTACCATCCATCAGTGAATGTGTGTTCACCTGTGAGCTCTTTCACTCTGTATTTCAGTGCGCTGATATTGAACCACAAATGTTTAGTCCTCATGAAGTAGTCATCTTCTAGTTGAAACATGTCTTTGGCAGCACAGCAGCAGCCACGCTGGTGTTCATAGGCACATTTGCAGTCCCACTTGTTACAGTCCAGAGGTTTGTCCAAGCTGACTGGAATAAGAAGGAGGAATGGTCAGGAAAAAACAACTAAAACCAGAATAGTTTATGTGAGGGAGAAGTTCAAAATGGAGGGGCAGAGGGGTCAGTTCTAACCAGGAAGTTCTCTGTCGACTTTATCTGACTTATAAAACAGAAGACAAAACATGTTAGGGTTGCAAAGCATTCAAAAAAGATGAACAGCTGACATGATGATATATATCCATGACATCATTTAACTATGTGGATCAGTTCTAGATTATAGAATAACCCTTTAACCAAATGATTTAAAGGTCTCAATGGACTTATGGTTTAAGAAAATGTATAAAAAAGAATAATTTGACAGTATGAAGATGTCAGGTATGATTTGCTGTCGATGGTCATTTGTTGTATTGACAGGTAAAATAAGACTTTCTTCTACACGCTCCTTTCCATCATGGGCTCTGTACACTGCTCTAAGTGTACATGTTTTTTTGAATTGCTTACCAGGAGTGGAACAAAATAAACAATAAGATTATTAGCAGCTTACGTGCAGCCTCTTTCAGTGTTTCAGCTACGGTCAGAGCCTCTGCAGGACCACTGAGAAACAGCGGCCCCAACAGGAACAAAACTGGTAAAACAACCATCTGAAATAAAAAAATAATTATTCAGTATTGGATCATTCATGGATAAATATTCACCCAGAGCAGACAGGCTTTAAAATAAAAACATTTGTTTCAATTTCAACCAGTTCATCAACCATTGTTTATATATATATTTTTTAATTATGACGTTCTATGTGAGGAAATAAAAGTAGCCCAATGCGTAAATAAGAGCAGCCGTTTCTAGACTAGCATGGTTTTTTATCTGTTTGACCTTCAAAACACCAAACGAATGCTTACTAGGAAACTAAAACAAATCTTTTCTGAACAAGCCAAATAGTTACGCCTTAAACCTTTAACCTAGACATTTGTGTACATTTGCTTTTCACATTTTTTTTTATTGTGATCAGAAATAGGCTTACATTATTATGTACAATAACAATTATGAATATTGATATAAAATGACCCAAAAGTGACTGGAAGTATAGCTTGAAATAGTAAACCCAGTGCTTAATATATTAATGGTGATTTGATGTATTTAAACTAACAATAACTGAGATGACATACAAACTCCATATGTGTTAATATACATCTCAAACCTGTACTTCCACCACCCTTCATCATTTGTTTTATTCAATTTTTGGTATAGTAATTGGTGGTTGACAGCCAGTTAGACAAATGTGTTTATCTTTCAAACAATGCCTTTAGAAAACCTTAAATAAGTATAGAAACATAACACTTACTTTTTTTGTTCCTTCCTCTTCTTGGTCAAGTACTTGTGAGTTTGTCAAACTGAGAGTTAGGGTTTAAAGCAAGGGATGGTTTTAGCTTCTTATTGATGCACAGCAGGTGAACCTCCCCTTGAGGAGGTTAATTACGCCTCCTCACATGCACACACACACACATACACACCTACAAACGTACACACTCATCCACACGCAGGTTTCAAAGCCAGACACTAATACTTACACCAAGAGGACCCGGTAATATTGTACAACAATAGTTTTTTTTTCACTGGAAAATCGAGAATTGATCCTGTTGCTCCCTTCAGCACACTGTGGTTGGACCATAATAGCCGTTATTAGGACATCAGTTTCAGATTACCAGCCTCTTAGAGGACAACAGTGTCTCAGAAAGGCTGATTTATGGATAACATTGTCCCTGGAAATATAATGGCCTAAAAGCCAGAAAACAAAAGAAGCTGAAACTGTATTATTATTTTATCGATAAAAGCCTAAATCGGAGAACAACGTGCAGCGTCACCTGGTTCTCATGCCGAGATAACAGGAAGATAGTAGTGATACTCTGTGTTCCCATTATGACCTTCCCTTGGGTTATTGTTGGTAACCCAGATGTATTGATGATGGTTTTTTTGTGGTTTGAGATATGCGATAGTTATCCTGGGTAAATAAGACGTATTCTTTTGAATTAAATTATCTTGATCTAGGAGCAATATTTATAACATAAAGCCATTTTATGAACAGCCAGGTGTTGCCATCTTTTATCTGGTCTTTGATGGATTCTAAATCTAAATTTAAATACCTGAAAGAAATACAAGCTGCTTTTGGAATAAAATGTACAGGTAAAGAAGCTGATTGTTTCATGATATAGGGATTTTCGATAATGGGGCTTTGGTTCTTCTAAATTATTTTTTAGCTGACTTTTTTAGCTGTTTGCAGCATGTCTAAGTTGCGTCACCATATCAATCTCTCTTACATTCTTACACATACATTGATGGTGCTTATTAACAAACGTTTACATCTTTGCCATGTCATGGGGAACATGTTAGCATGTGAGAAGCATGAAATGAAATATGTGGCATTCATCTAATCTGTGTCAAAACAATTAAACTAAAGATATTTCAGTCACATGACATGATCTTGACCAGCAGATGGAGTTTGACATTTTAATTGTTCAATTAGAAAAATCTGAGCAGGTTATTGACTTCTGAATTTTGCTGAAAGGCTTAGGTTTACGCATTTTTATTTGGAAACCTCAAAATATGGCATCAATCCTAAATATGGCTAAAAATTCCGTTGTTTTTCTGTTGTTTAGAATTTGTTTTAGAAGTACAGGAATATTTTCAAATGTATGATGAATAATTTACAAAAAATATTTATTTTTTTGTATCACAAAACTGCTTGTATGTGCATGCTTGTCTTTATATTTGTAGAGCTTGACATTCAGCAGTGTATTACTCCACAGTTATTTATCAATACAATTTTTTCAAAGCCTTAGTTTGTCATTTTCAATATCGCTGTTGATCATCTAGACCTATTAGATAACAGGGTGTTTCCGTGTTGACAGTAAACTTGTCTTAGCAACAGGAGCTGTATTGTTTGTGTTTGTCTGATCTCCACTGACCTGGTTCTTCACATTGTTTTACCTTCTACAAGGAGGCCAAGGTGTATCATGTGTTCTCATGTCTGCTTTACACTTTCAAAACAGTCCTTTAGATAATTCATTTTGCATGTTATAAAAATGGGTTACTCTACACCCTGACCTCAGAGCTTTGAATTACTTTATAATAGTGAACATAAAAGAGTTGATCATCTTTCTGAGATTGTTTGATAGCGACATGACATCAGCTTCATTTAATTTACCTGGGGTTTGAGCTTTTCATAAAGGGAACATAACCTAAAAAATGTCATTGCAAATTTCACTTTTTTAATGAACTTATTAACACACAATTTGTAAAAAAGTATAAACCAAACTGGGTTTGCACCTGAAGCTGACAATATAGAGAAGATCATAAAGTGAGTGAGTACACTAAATAGGGGAAACTGTCCTATATTTCATATCAGCTATAAGGAAATAACCATTTATTGTGTTTGCCAAAAGGTTATTTGCAGATAAAGTCATGTTATCCAACATAGTATTCTTTTTGACCCCATACTTCCTGAACAAATGATTGGAAAATGTCTAAATGTCTAGTAAAAGGAATCCAAGAACATTTATTTGGGATTTGATAGGCCATTGTTTTCTTATAAAAAACTGTCAACATCAATAACAAATACAGAGCACAAATCGATTCCTCTATTTGTGAGGTGAATTTTTCTTTAGTGTATATATTTTAATATATGGAAAAAAAACAGGAGACGCTTTTGTGTCCTTAGTTAAGCAAATGAATCACATTTTGAAATATCTACTATAAAAAAAGGCCATGCACACCTACATAATGCAACTGCTCTGCCCCCCTGGAGCACTTTTGTTTGCACTAGAATGCCACTATCGGGTTGTTGTTGTTGTTGTTCTGGGTTCATTACATTTGCCATGATCAAAAGTATTATTAACAATAGATTACATGCCTACTTTTGGGTAAAAGAGGAAGCTGGCAACCCATAAAGAAGTATTATCTGACTGCAGTTTCTGACATATCTAGGGAGTTTTATTGTCTTTTAGCTCAATGTTTTCGTTCTTCAAGTTGGTTTAATTCAGCGAAATTTAAGAGATGTTTGCCACATGCTCAGCTCCTAACAGAACACAGACACAGTTAGAAAAGAGCAAATATTGATGGCCGAATGCCCGAACAATATAGTCGCTGTTTTTGTTGCTGCTGTGTACATTCCTCCTGATGCCAATTAAAACAATGCACCATAGGAACTCACTGCTGCTTTTGTTTTCTTGTGTAACATAAAATGACTAAAACTGCTATTTGCTGTTGAAAGCTTGTGATGAAAATAAATTAAAGTGGACCTATCATGCTATATTTGAATAATATAGTGTAGGACCATACCTATATAAGGCATATTTATACTTTTTTTTTTTCAAAATACCAAACAGATCATGCATTTTAGCCATGCCTCATTTTGCTCAATTTGACATTTTTTAGCTCTGTTTTTGCAAGGGCAGATTCTTTGAGAACAGCACCATCTACTGGCCTGGCATATGTACTACAGCGTCTCCAGCGCTTTCGAACGGCAATGGCCGTGGCTGTCTCCTCCTGATTGGTGGAGTTGGCCGTAGCGCCACTGTCCTGACGTCAGGACAGTGTTCAAATCTGGATCAGTTTTTATCAGATCCGTTGCAGCCCCTTTTTTTAGAGATTTGGGTATGGAGGAAAATAGAGAGGGTTGTGTTTTCTGACACTTGGTGAGTTCCCTGGAACACCGGGGACACATATTCATGTATAAAAGACGTACAAAAGTGCATTTTGCATGATAGGTCCCCTTTAACATTGAACCTTAAATATTTGTCTATCAGACGGCCAGAAACACACCTCCAAATGCAAGCTAATATGGCTGGCTTCTGAATGTGTGTGTGTAAGCTTAGAACTTTGCAAATATTAACTTAAAAAGTAAAGAAACCACAATATTTAGTAGCAATTCAGATCAGATTTTAATAATCTCCTTCTGCAGCCACAAAAGGCTACATACAAGTGTAATACCTTTTCAATAATCAACCCTGTTGCTGAATTTTTCAACATAAACACAGCAGTATCCCCAACATATATGAAACTCATTTTGGTTTATTAAAAAGATCTTATATCTATGCTGTACCTCAGTTATGTGTGTTGTGTTGTTGTAACTTAAAATCAGTTGCTTTCTAGAGCAGGGGTGTCCAAACTACGGCCTGGGGGCAATTTTGAATCGGCCCTCACTCAGCAAATTAAAAAGTATAATGACTTATATTGTACTTCTTAAATATATATGTTCAAATATATTACACAGTATTCATGTGTTAATAGGCCCAATTTTCAAATAAATTCAGTCAATTAAAGTTGAAAACATGTTCTAACAAATCTAAGTTGATAAGAAAAAAGCCCAATAACTGTACATAACAACCTTGAAATATACCCTTCATATTTCCTCTCATTATAAGCAATCTGAAGCTTCTGTTTTAAGGAGTGAGCTGCCAACAAAATAAATGAAACCCTCTGGAGAGCTGTGAGCTTTTTTTCTTAAAGCATTTTCAAGTATCAAGAATAATTTACCTACATTGGATTGACTTTTCCAATTTATAACTTAACTTATGAGGCAAAATACCTCTAGTGAGTGGCCCAGCCCTTCGTATATATTTCTGTATGTGGCCCTCGGTGAAAAAGGTTTGGACACCCCTGCTCTAGAGAATTGATGAGTTGGACAACCTTATAGGTGAGGTGGTTGCCCAATCACAATAGACCCAAACATCATACTCATCAGATGACCTCACAACATGTGTTTTTTTTCCAGCATCATTACAATATAATGCCAAAGCATCTGTTATATATAAGATTACGTGACTTTAGGATACCATTTGTTAAAGCTTTAATACCAGAATGTAAATCACAGTTGCTAGTGTTTTTGAATTTAGTGAACATGTGGCATACATTTGTATTACTACTTATTACTAATTACTACCTATGGAACTAAATGTTAAATTAAATATCTAAATGTGCTGTATGTGTCCTTTTGTGATCTACACTTTATAAAGTATTCTATTTCACCTGGCTGGTTATATTGACTTTCAAATGAATACCCCCTCGGCTCATTATGATTCATGTATGTGCTATTAGTTCAAATTCGAATTTTATTTAGTCAGTTTCATACACAATGGTAAAAGTGAATTAAGAAGAGCAAAGTAAGGGCAATTGTTTGTACAATTGTGTCAACGTTCACAGTTTGAATAAAATCCACCACACAATGCCATCTTCTTTGATTATTTGATTTATTTTCTTGTCATTTTACAGGTACATGAGTGTTAAGTTGATTTCTCCAAATCGTATCAAGATTGAATTACAGCAAGCAAAAGGTAAGCAGTTGCAGAATGAAGACACTCACATTACATTGGTCGAAATCCGATGTGACGGATATAAAAATGTGCTCAACAGATTGAAATGAGGGCTACAAGGCACCACACAGACATACTTCTTCTAGCAGACGTTAACCTTGTCAGTAGGGAGAGAGTTGGTAAGAAAGAATGTGCACTAGGCCAGTGGTTCAGTAGGATAAAGCATGAAAACGCTGAAAGTGTTATAGTGGTTACTGTCGTCGTAGAGGGAACATCCTCTGGGCAGTTTGACAGCCACCTCGTCCCCAGCCTCCAGGTGAAGGGCCAGAACTACAGAGGCACTGTCCTCTTGGTCTCTTGTATTTATTTCTTTGGATCCTGCAACTACATGGCCGTTAACCTGCAGAATGGCACAGGCAGCCAAGCTGTTGCCAGGAGCCCCGGCGTCACTATAGACGGTGAGGGCGAGGCTGTAGACACCGGAGCGAGGAACAGTGAAGATACCGCTCGTCGTATTGTAGCCATCACCCAGATTGATGAAGACGTGTTTGTAAGGGACGATTGTGTCGATTGAGAACTCGCCAAACCAAATATAGTGATCGTTATCAAGCAGAGCAACAGAGACGGCAACGCGGCCGGCTGGAAATGCAAAGGAGAATTGAAAGTTAGAAAAAGTAAATCATTGAGTTTTCTGTATCATGAAGAAAAGTCTTAAGTGTGTGTGACCCACCTTCAATAAACTTGAGACTTTGCACTGTTTGTACGTATTCCTGCTCCAACTCACTCAGCTTTTCATCAAAGTGCGTCTTCAGCCTGTTTACCTCTTTCAGCATCACACAGCAGTTGCATGATCCTTTGTCGATGGAACACACTGAAGACAAACACACAACAATACACTTGCAGATAAACATACGTTATGCAGACACCTGGTTATGCACCCACAGTTTAACACCATTACCTTCGTTGGGGTTCTCAGGCCCTGCTTCTGAATTTGAGGTATCCCAGTTAAAGGAAGGATCAGCAAAGGATGCTTGAAGCAGACACAGCAGTAAGATAGCTGGAGGGAGAAAGCATATGCATGCAGTAATAAACCCAGACGTTCTTTAGGTTATATATATGAACCTTAACTTCCTCTAAACATGTCTTACCTCTCATGTTGACAGCTTTAGAAGGATGGAAGATGTGATAGACTGATCAGTAGAGGAGGTATCATGGATATATATTTTTTATCAGAGCCCCTCCCTGGTTGTAAGTTTCATTCCTCCTCTTCTGTCAGCGCTCCTCCTTTTTTTATGCTTGTGTTTTTTTAATCGTCTGCCCTATTTGTCTTATATCGTCACCACTATCATTTTCTAAAATCAAACACCCTGCAGGGTTTTGTGTGGATGGTCACAGGTATCACCTGTCATCTGAAAAGAGGAGTTTGTATTACCTCTTTGACATTGCTGCATAATATTTCACTTTATTTGTTTAAATGCTGTGTTTTTTAATGTAACATGTTGAAAGACAGAAGTTAGCCACAAGGTCTGAGGCAGCTGCACAGTCACACACACACACACACACGCACGCACACACACACACACACACACACACACACACACACACACACACACACACACACACACACACACACACACACACACCATGTATACATCACTTCAGGGGACATTACATTGACTTACATGCATTTCCTGGAGCCCTATCCTAACCTTAACCATAACCAACACATGCCTACTAACCCTTAACATTACCCTTACCCTAACCTATTCTTCACCCTAAAATTAATGATTCCCCTCACGGGGACCTCCATTATGTCCCCATAAGGGAGGCGAGTCCCCACACGTGACTGTGTAAACAGATTTAGGTCCCCACAAGTATAGTAATGCTAGGCCACACACACACACACACACACACACACACACACACACACACACACACACACACACACACACACATACACACACACACACACACACACACACACACACACACACACACACACACACACACACACACACACACACACACACACACACACACACACACACACACACACACACACACACACACACACACACACCTTGACTCAAACTTAAGCCCCCTTTCCAAGCCCAAAGGAACCTTCTTAGGACATTCTGCCACGAACACCATCACCTTATTTTAATGTATAATTTTACTAATAAAACTGTATTAGGTTAGTTGAAAGCAATAATATTAAGTTCAACCTAATATTTGCTATTTAAACTTAATATTATTGCTTTCAACTAACCTAAAAACAGTGATGTGAAATCTGTTGACATAATACATTTAGCGTTTCAGATTTTTTCAGTGTACGAATTGTATGTTGTATTGATTATGGTGAGTGTTTTTTATGTTTGCCAGTGCCAAAGACAGATTATATGTACATTTAATGGACAACAAAGGTATTCTGAATCTGCATCTGAATCTAGATATATTACTCTGTTAACCAATATGATTTGTTGAAGAAGGAGAAGAAGAAGAATGGCTTTTTTAAGTAATGTGTGCACTCATGCGCATGATGATTGTTTTTGGGCACCAGATCATGTTGATGTTTTGTATAATGAAAACAGTATTTTCAGTATGACTGTGAAAAATAAACATTTATAGATGTGTTTCAGTTCACATCTGATTTCCTGCTGACATTGGCACTGGATGTATTGCAGATATGGTGTTTGTCGAGAACAATGTACATAATATGAGACCTTAGAAAAAGTTATAATATATTTGATTAAAGTTGGACTATAGTCTTCAAATAGAGATTTTAAAAATATGTATTGTACTGTAGTCATACATGTATTGAGTTTCGGTGAGTAAGGGTAAATACAATTGTTTCTTAAGGGCTCCAAACGAATGTTTCAAAATGTATTTGAGAAATATCTTAATCCTAAAAGCAATCTATGTGTTATAGTTTTAATACGCAGAACAAAGTCAAATAAATTATTTAACCATCATTGTTTACAACAACAACATGCAGACATACATTTTGAATCTTTATTTATCGATAACGTATTTAGTGGTGTTTGAAACAAAGTGACCCACAATGCCAACATGTCTGTTCAAAAGTCTGGTTTATTTCAGTGGTAAGTTTCAGGTACAACATTTTTTGAATTCACATTTCTATCACATTTCACTTAAAATCATCTCAGTAGCTTTAAAGATCATCAACGAAATAAAAAGAAAAAGAAGTTGATTAAAAACTTGGCTTCCCTCAAAGGGAAATTATGAAAGCATCGGCAGGATTGGTGATAGTAAAAATATCAGAAAAAGATTAGAGCCTTCAAGTCGGGCATTTATCTAACAGACTCAAAAACAGTTAAAGTAAGTGCAAAGCCTTAAACGTTAGAATTAGCCTATGAGTCGGTGGTATGCAGCAGGAAGCCAGTGAAAGTGTTAAAGTGGCTTAAGTTATCACAGATGACACATCCTGCAGGCAGGAGGACCCCCACCTGGTCCCCAGCCTTCAGTCCCACAGCCACCACCACCGTGGAACTGTCTTCAGGGTCATCGCCTTTATGTTCGGGTAAAACAGCCACTGCATGGCCGTTGACTATCAGGTTAGCACAGGCGGCAATGGGGTTAATAACAGAATCAATGTCGCTGTAGACGGTGACCGCGAGGCTGTAGACACCAGAGCGAGGAGCGGTGAAGATACCGGTGTCCGTACTGTAGCTATCACCCAGATTGATGAAGACGTCTTTGAAAGGGATGAGTCTGTCGTCAGTGAAGGGGCCAAAGCAGACCATTCTAGCGTTGCTGTTGAGAGCGACAGAGAAGGCACTGCGGCTGTCTGAAAAAGCAGAGAAGAATAGAAAATCAGGTTGGAAGAATAAAGTCAAGGAGTTTTGTTCTTCAAAGCAACATTGACTCACTAACCAAGTTGATAAGTAACATTAAAACAATTCTGTTTTGTATTTCACATATTGCATTTTCCACAATGTTATGTTCAATAAGAAAATGAGGCATTTAACTATTTGAAAATGTGTTAAATTGATTTCCCGAACAGAAATCTTAACATTTGATATGGCTAGGTTCAAAATTCAGGGTCAAATGTTTTTAAATAAGCAACTTTGAATATCTGTTTGTATCACTCCATAAATAACAAAAAACTGTCCACAGCCATAAAACATATGGGACATGTATTTTTTATATAAATCTGGCATGAATGAATGAACAAACCTTAAAAACCTTCAGAATACAAATGGAAGGTTTTGGTGTACCAGTGCATAAAAAAACTTGTGTGTCTTTGATTTAAGATATTTTGATGACGTTATGAATTGACTCCTGGTTTGGTTGCGGGATCTGCTCACCTGTGAAATTGTTGAGGGCCATCTTTGATTCTGTCAGGACGTGGTGCATTCCTTCATAGCTTAAGTTAAAGTACTCTTCCATCCTGTTCAATTGCTTCTGCATCACACAGCAGCCACACGATTGCTGATCCAAATAACACGCTGTGCATGCATACATTCACAAACAAAAAAGCACACATATTAAGACAAAGGTTGCAGGTGCATGTATGTGTAGATACATTGACTATGTATTGACGGATGAAATAAACATATTTTCCTAAAACTCTCTCACGATTGGATGCTGTTTCAGAAGTAGAGAGAGGATCCACCCAGCCAAATTCGTCCATACCAAAAGCTGCATGCAGCATACAAAGCAACATAATAGCTGGGGGAAAGAGCAAAGGCACACAAATAAAACGCAGAAAATGGTTTGCATTATAGTTTCTCGGAAAAATGACCTTACTCTGGACTACTGTTTCCGTGCCTTTAAGCTTTAAAAATAGACCATTCTCTCCTACATTACATTGTACATGTGTCCCCAGAATTGTGTTACTTCTTCGTTGTTAAATACCACATTGAAAAAGCCATCTTCATTTAGGATATTTCTAACCTGCTCTTCTTCCATTATGTCTGACCTTTCAGTTGAAAAGTCATTCTGGATTCCATATTGTCTGTGAAGCTAGAAACCCTTACCATCCTAAATATTATGCCACTGTAGTTGAAACTTGTATTAAGTCTCACCTCTCATGTTGATGCTGGAGAAGGATGATGGCTTCAGATGGATTGAAAGTGCGTAGACTGATCCTGAGACAAAAGACTTAGATATTTATATTTTTCTGAGAGTCCCGCCCTTGTCACCTCTCATTTTTATTCCTCCTCTTTTGGCATCGCTCGTCCTTGTTTTTATTGTTGCCCTATTTGCCTTTATGACTTTCATAAAGCTGTATTTTTTCATCGCTAGGGGCTCTCATTTTGTAGAAATCACACACACGCAGACACACACCCTAAAGGGCTTTGTTGGTAAGGCCAACCAGGTATAATGTATCGCCTGAGAGAAGGTGTGTCCGTTTCAAAGGAAGTGACGAACAAGAGAAAAGCCATTTAAAGTTAGTCTTGCAGTAAACACAGGAGCCACTGGCTTAAAAATACCATTCAGCTTGGAGGCCATTTAGGGTTGTAGTGATGTTAATTTAGTAGCCAGGTTTTGACAAGGAAAAATAATGTGTTGGGGTAAAAAGCTGATATCTTCCCACCATAAGTCCAACAATGTCATATGAGTTCAATGCTACATCAATGGAGTACTCTTTCGACTTTCCAGTGTCCCATTGTGGTGATTAAAACAAAATACCACATAAGGCTGCAGTTTTGTTGAGAATCCTGATTTATTTTGTTCACATTAAAAAGGTAAATCATACATTTCCGTCACATAAAATCAGTAAATGACACAGTTTAATTCACAAGAACCAAGTTACTCAGACTGTATGACATTAGTTAGTTGTTATGGGAAATAGGTTAAAAGATATACAACATTTTGAACTGTTATTTAGAAATGGCTTCAGAAATGTGGATTTAAATAATTGCATCTGTCAAAAGATAATATAGGGTCTAAAGGTTTTTGAAGTAAAGATGAGGACATTGTGTTGAGATGGATTAAAGATAGCAATAGAGAAGATAGATTCAAGACTACAAAGCACACTTCTCACCACATAAAGATTTCATGTATCAGACTCAAACCTCATCAGGAGGTCAAGAGTTGGTACAAATCCCAGGGCAGCTACATTTCCCTAACTTAATCAGTAGCATATAGCAAGAAACCAGTGAAAGTGTTGTAGTGGCTGTTGTCATCGCAGAGGAAACATCCAATGGGCAGGTTGACAGCCACCTTGTCCCCAGCATTCAGGTGGAGGGCCATAACTATAGTGGCACTGTCCTCTTGGTCTTGCATATTTCTGTCTTTGGATCCTGCCACCACCTGGCCGTTAACCTGCAGACTGGCACAGGCGGCCAAGGTGTTGCCAGGAGCCCCGGCGTCACTGTAGACGGTGAGGGCCAGGCTGTAGACACCAGAGCGAGGAACAGTGAAGATACCAGTCTCTGTCCTGTAGCTATCACCCAGATTGATGGATACGTGTTTGTAAGGGATGAGTTTGTCGTCAGGGAAGGGGCCAAAGCAGTTGAAGTTGTTTTCATTGAATAGAGACACAGAGAAGGCACTGCGGCTGGCTGGAGATGCAGAGGGGGGGAGAGAAAAACATGAAGTTATACTGGGAAAAGCCACTGATTTATTACCTTCACTCTCCTCTTGAGTATCTCATACACTTGGCTCACCTCTGATATTGTTGAGAATGTTCTTTGTTTTTGTCAGTTCCTGCTCCAGCTCAGTGAGACTTGTGTTGAAGAACATCTTCATCCTTTGTATCTGCTGCTGCATCAGACAGCAACCACACGACCCCTGGTCAGTAAGGCATGCTGAACACACAGAAGTTCAGTAGGTTGAAGATGAAAGGGTCTGCCGACTCAATAACTATATCCCATGACTTATTATCATTTAATTTTTTCTTTCACCATTTTCCGTTTTGGAATCAACCACCTCAACAACCTCCAGGCATCAACCTCCAGGCATACATATTGGCCTGAATTAAGGCAGCTTCCAATAGACATAGCAAAACAGCAGCTGGGAGAAGAGCAAGTTATTAACCAATAACCCAGAAAGAATCCTATCATTGAAAGTAAAACATTTGACAACTTTTCTAATTATATCCAGTCTCACCTCGCATGGTGATGCTGGCAGTTGACGATGGATTCAAGAGGGCAGACTGTGATTGACTCATGCAGGGTCTCCCTTATATATGTATGTTTCCCATCAATTCTCTTCTATAGCTCCTCCCAGTTCACCCTATAACCATTATTTTTTGCCTTATGCCTGTATATGTATACACCTGTATACCTTAACTCCTTTATGTTTGTGTGGAGGCAGCACAGACCCACACACACAAACACACACACAGACACCGTCCAGGTTTTTGTGTTGTTGATGTAGGTCAGGTATTATCTGTCCTCTGAGGCTAGCTGTCTATGTGGTTCAGCGTTCCTATCAACACGCAAAGATGTATGCATGGATTTCCTCTCTTTCCAATTATATATTGTGCATTAAAATGAAGTGACCTGAAGTGTCTGAATGTAACTAAGTACATTTACTCATGTACTGTACTTAAGTACTAATTTGAGCTACTTTTAATTTGACTCAAATCTGTTCTGTCATGTCACTTACTTTCTACTTCTACTTTCTACTTCCCTACATTTTTCTTACAGATCTAATTACTTCTTACTTTTTCCAGAAGCCATGTCCTCACTCATTATTACTTTCTCTAATTTGTCCTACTTTTTCAATCAGGGCAAGACACAACAAGCTGTGGCCACACGTGTAACACGAGAGCTTTATTGTCTTCCTGTGAATAGTGTTGAATTTCCTGACTAGCACAAAACCAGGCTATGCTTGTGAGTGTTACAGTAGGTCAAGAGAAGAAGACACACAAAAAAGTGTCCTCCCTCAGAGCAACAAGTGAGGGGGTGATTATTTAAGTCAAAATGAATATTTGATTGAATGTAGGATGGTTACTTTAGTCGTTGTTATAGCTTTCATTTATTTTCTTGTGTTTTTTGTTCTTTCTCTTTGTACATTTAATCAGTGCAAACTATTGTGGCATTTGCATATGCTCATACTTTACTTTTCATAGCTAAATTATAGCATATTGTCATTGTGTATCCACTTCTTTAAGTTGTAGCGTAAAACCTTGGTTATATTAATAATAATAATAATACATTACATTTATATAGCGCTTTTCCTGGAGCACTATGGAAAACTTATGAAAGATATTTTTGATCATAAATTGTATCTTTGAGTGCAAATTATGACAGCAAATATAAACCTTTACTGTGTTACTTACTAGTATGCTTAAACAATCTGTACTAGCCTACTCAAACCAATACTGAGGGCTACTCAAACTTCGTAAGTTAACCTATCCTCAAAGTAACATGTTTTAATAAGGACGTATCGATGAAATGTGTGTTTTCTGCTCTTTTATTCACTTACAAATCAATCTCATCAATTAAGCTTTTGTGTAAAAAGAATATGAAAACCAGACATTCCTGAAACATTTTTGTTTCTATACTTATGACATAACCTTATTACAATTTGCCAACCAGACAAGCAGGTTATATCAAAAGCCGACAGCACATTTTTCATATACAACTCAATCCAATTGGCAAACAGTCAGTGTAGCTCCCACTCCGGTCCAGAACCTGAACCCTGGGTGCAGCGGGCCTGTGAACTGGCTCTGGTGTTGGTGGATGATCTCAGCCTGGTTGTGGGAGATGCGGTAGAAGGCCAGAACCCCTGCATGCTGGTCCAGATAGACGCCAACCCGCCGGGCCTTAGGAGAGCCCAGCAGTTTTTCCTGACCATTGTGCCAGAAAGAGAAGCCAGTCCCGGACCAGTACAAGCTCCAAGACAGAGCGTTGTGGCCCAAACGGCTGCTGTCATCAGAAGACCTACGATCCATCTCCTTGTATGCCACGCCTATGGTCATCTTTATGGTGGGACAGAAAAAAAAACTAGATAAGAAAATGAAGCTCCCTTGCACTAGTTCATAAATTGCACGCATTTCCCTGAGCTGGTTTTCAGATGAGAGCTGAGATTTAACTTTTGTGATTTTGAGTTTTCGGAACGTGGTTGATTTAGTGAATATTAAGGAAAACCTTCCCATTGATTACCTGCATCAGGGCATATCATTTTATTATTTGTACACAATTCCCTATTGGAAAGATAAATGTTCATTATCAAAAAATATATCTTTTAAAACTATTATTAAGAAAATACTTTTTTTAGTGAACCATCACAACACAGTACAAAATGCAACTGAGGCAGGTTGAACAATATTTTTTTTTGCAGCTATCAAGTAGTTTATCTAGTAATGGAAAACATTTTAAAATGATGAAAAGTTAAGGGATCTCTAAATGTGTCTCAATTCATCCTAAGGGGAAGATTATTTTGCAATTTGAATGAAAATTAATCACATGGTTGTTTACGCTGATTATCCATGTATGCAATGTCTATGATATGAAGTCATCCAAGATTATTTTGACTTATATATTGACCTCAGATTTAAAGTTGTAATGTCTAAGGATTCACCTTCTTGCCAGTCCACTCCACCTCCCAGTAGAAAGGGCTCCCTGCCAGAGCCTCTCTGCAGAGAACCTGCCTCCAGAAGAGGAAGCGCTCAGGATGCTCCGGTAGGTTCAGGTTCTCAGCACGCATCGTGGCCTTATGACCTCCATCGGACAGCTGCACGTGGCGATAAACGGTGTTGGCGTCCATGGTGGGCTCGAAGCAAACTGAAGGGAGAGGACGCATTTTAGTGAAGACTCTGGATCTCCCCAAAGACTATTAGACTGTGTTGTTTATTTTTATTTAGCTTTATATTAAAGTGTATGATGGACTCACATTTCAGTAATTCTTCTCTTGTCTTTGGTTCTGGGTTAACAAGTCCAACGGTTGTTACAAGAGGTGCTACAAGGTAACAAATATTTATATTAAAACAGTGAAATTATATACACGTTTTACTTCTACAAAAAGAAGTAGTTGATACAGGATTCTCCAAATACTTTTGTATTTACCCTGAGGTTGGGGAGCAGGGAAGGGGGGAGGTGGGGCTGAAGCTTCATGGAGGAAAGGAAACACAGGAACCGGTAAACTGAATGAAATCTCAATTCCATAATATAAAATCTCTGAAATATTTTCATGTACTCTAGCCCCAGTATTACTTATTCTTACCTTCAGCACATGCAGGACGTTTTAATGAATCCTCATGCCGGCCTAGGGAAACAGAAATTACAGATAAAGCATTATAACTTGGGTTATGTCTAACAGACATATTTAAACACCACAGACATATAGTATAAAATGCTTCTGCAGTAACTTACACCGAGGTCGTGGAGGTGGCAAAGGAGCAGGGTCTGTCATCATCTCATACACTAAAGGGAAAAGGAGATGAGTTGTAAAAAACATATTTAAAAGGTTTCCTTATTTCAGTTTATGAATAAATAAGAAATAAAGGGAAACCATGGGATGAACTTTTTAACATTCACTTTAATTCTTGGGCTTAGGCGAAGGTAAAGTATTTCCATGTCATACTGTAAGTCCAAGTGAAGTCAAAGGTAATTTTGACAAAGTCCAAAGCCTTTTGCTCAATAAACTCTGTATAATGTCCAGCAAATCAATTATTTTTCAGATTTCAGCAAATCATGTCTTAAGTGATAACAACTGTGACTAGAGTCCAACTCTGGTTCAAGTCATGTGCATCGAGTCCACACCTGTAGTTTCTGAGTAAACCAGTCAAAACAAACTTTTGTTTATCATTACATTACATTACATTACATGTCACTTGTTAGACGCTTTTATCCAAAGCGACTTACATACTCAATATGTGGGCAATCCCCACAGGAGCAATTTGGGGTGAAGTGTCTTGCCCAGGGACACAACGACATGCTGACTGCAGTGGGGTTTGAACCTGTGCTCCCCTGATCCGAACACCAACGCTCTAATCCACTGCGCCACAGCCTCCGCAAGCCTATCATGATTGTGTTCTGGGCTTTTATCACACTGGTTGATTTTAAGTTACTGTACCTGTAGTTTGTGTGGTTGCCTGGCCACTGCTAGCTGCTGCTGCTGCTCCTGCTGCTGCTGCTGAGGCATCATTGGATGTTGAAGCCACTGCATCAGGATTCACTACAAAAAAAAGGAAGGTTTTGAATGTCTGAAATTGAGAAGAATGGCAAGAAAGAGAGAAGAGAAATAAAATACTGACCTAATGTGATGACCTTGGCCAGACTGGCTTTGCAGAGTTCCTGTATTGACTCCTGTAGTTCTTTCATGGTAGAGCGAACAGAGGCTATCACCGCTTCCTCCTGATTCAGTATCGACTCTCCTATTGCACCTGTCTGACCCAGCGGCTCCATGATGAAGAAATTCTTTAGAAAAAAACGACAAAACGTATAACAATAAGATATAGGATTTTCAATTTCATTAATGGTGAACCTTATTCTCTGTGCATCATGATAAAGTCAAGTGGTTTCGATTATTTCTAGTTCACACCCAACCACTAATTACCTTCAAGAAGCAGATGTCGTCCTGCATGTCCTTCAGCCTGCTCAGCTCCTCATTCTTCCAGCGCAGCGGTGCCACCTCCTGCTCCAGTCTGTGGATCTGTCCTTCGACCCGGCTACCTAAGGAGGTCTCATGGGTGCTGAGGACCTCACCGACCTGGATGCCTGTTTGATTCACAGTCTTGACAAGCTCCGAGAATAAATCTGTGCTCTCTTGATTTAGAGCCTGCACCAAGGCCTACAAAATTCCCAAAGAGGAGGAGAAGAGGGTACAAAGATTGTAAATGTGTTTGTTGTAACAATCAAAACATGAATGGGTTCAAAGGTTTCTCCTCAAAACTACATAACTTCTTACTTTGTGTTGGCGGGCAGCATGTGGGAGCTCTATAAGCCTCTTTTCCGTCTCCTGGATTCTCTTCCGTATTTCTACTTGCATCTGATTAAGCTCGGTCGGCACACACACACACACACACACACACACACACACACACACACACACACACACACACACACACACACACACACACACACACACACACACACACACACACACACACACACACACACACACCACACACACACACACACACACACACACACCACACACACACACACACACACACACACACACACACACACACACACACACACACACACACACACACACACACACACACACACACACACACACACACACACACACACACACACACACACACACACACACACACACACACACACACACACACACACACACACACACACACACACACACACACACACACACACACACACACACCACACACACCACACACACACACACACACACACACACACACACACACACACACACACACACACACACACACACACACACACACACACACACACACACACATTACTGAAAAGGCATTTCAGTTTAAATTCTTTTTTTAGCCTGGAGAATTGCGACTTTAATGCCATTTCAGAGGACAGACGTTGGTTGTTTGGTGGTCTTGGTCAAATTGAGAAATAAGTCCCCTTTGGGTGACTACGAGGACATAAAGGATGTACTTTATAGTAAAATGGTGAGTTGTAGTTGAGGAAGGGATCCTTTTCTGTCAAGATTACATTTGCCAAGCTTGGAATAAAAAGGCAGAATATTTTATTAAAGGTAGGGTAGGTAAGTTTGAGAAACCGCCTCGAGATACACTTTTTGTTATATTCCATGGAATGCTCTTAACATCCCGATAGCAATGAATATCTTAAATGCTTTGACAAAAAATCCATAACAAAATGTCATCTGTGGAAGCCGTAATACTGTAAAAAGTACGACCAATCATTTTAGCCGGCCCGGCTAAAATAACTGGATGGCCTACCTGCCTGTCAGCCTTCCATCTGTGCACAAACTTATCTCGTGCCCTCATTGGTCATGTGCGCGTTCGTGTGTGTTGGAGGAGGGGCTCTGTAAGGAAGTGGCAGATTTTCTCCGGTTGTGTATTTTCAAATTCTAGCGATCTCGAGCCGGTTTCTCAAACGTACCTACCCTACCTTTAAGGAGCGAGTGTTTAAATAACTTGTAATTGTGTAATGAAAGGAAATGTCCGACTACTGTAACTATATATGTTTTGTGTATTGTAAACCTATGGGTATGTGCCGTATGTGCACAACAAGAAAACAAGGACATTAAAGGTGGGGTAGGTAATTTTGGAGAAACCAGCTCGAGTGCGCTAGAATTTGAAAATACACAGCCGGAGAAAATCTGCCACTTCCTTACGGAGCCCCTCCTCCAACACACACGAACGCGCACATGACCAATGAGGGCACGAGATAAGTTTGTGCACAGATGGAAGGCTGACAGGCAGGTAGGCCATCCAGTTATTTTAGCCGGGCCGGCTAAAATGATTGGTCGTGCTTTTTACAGTATTACGGCTTCCACAGATGACATTTTTTTATGGATTTTTTGTCAAAGCACTTAAGATATTCATTGCTATGGGATGTTAAGAGCATTCCATGGAATATAACAAAAAGTGTATCTCGAGCCGGTTTCTCAAAATTTCCTACCCCACCTTTAATATAGAAATATAAACTTTTGCATGCAGGACAGTGACCTAGATTGAACTTTGTGGTGGGTCATTTGCAAAGCTGCAGTTTATCCTTAAGGAAGTGTAAGAACACATCCACAAAGGAATGCACAATAAAAACAACTCACAAGTACTTCAGGTTCATCTACATTTTGGAAATGCTACACTTATGACAACACAGTTATTATTTTACCTGCACTTTCTCTGACCAACATGAGATAAAACATAGAAAGGACAAAAGAGTATTTATAATATTCCCGTTTGATATTTGCCCTGTCCATTACATACCTGTCTCTCCCTCCTCTCTGCCTGTGGTTTGATCACACGATGTCCCTCATGTCCATGCTGGCAACAAACTTCACACACACACTCCTTGTCCTCGTGGCAAAACAGGTCCAGGGGTCGTTTGTGTTGAGGGCAGGGCCTGGGCTCCACTGTTGGAAGCTGAGGGTACATGCTGCCCGGACGCGGCCCTATTCCTGGTAGGACCTCCAGGTAGATAGGCATTGATGGCGGGGCAGAGGAGACAGCTTTGGAGGAGCTTTGTCTGAGGCTGTTTGTTCTCAGTTTCTCCATAGCCTCCACTAACACAGTGCTCTTAGCCAGCGAGGGTCGAGGGTTAAACACCTGCCTACACTGGGGGCAGCTGAACTCACCTTTGCGGTTTCCCTTGTCCCAGTGGCTCTGGATACATGCCAAGCAGTATGAATGTCCACAGGGTAGAGTGGCTGGGTCCTTCAGGGTATCCAGGCATACTGAGCAGACAAAGGTCTCCTCTTCAGACCAGGCTGAGGCCATGGTGCCGGGGGTGGAATGTAGAATAATTACCTGTATTTCTTGGAGATCAACCTGGACGTTAGACAACCACAAGGTCCCCTGTTTAAATAGGTGAATGAACTAGAAAAATATTCAACAGAACTAGAAATAATGCAAGTGCTTTAAGTTAAAGCAAAAACTCGCAGAGGGCAAAGCTGAAATGCCAGTTCGCATGAAACTATGCTGCTTAAGAGCAGAGGCAGCCTGGACTCAAGGTGGAGCTGGTAAAACAGGTCTGGTAAGGTGTTTATAATATTTATGTCATGGGGCCCATGGCTTCCTATAGTTTGTCAAATGATAAATGGTATCATATGGGCTAAATGCCAACTCACTGTCAATCACTCTGAAAAAATACTGTTAAAAATCTTGCATATAGGCCTAACGTTACGAAATTAAGCCAGATAGTGATGTCATCTGTGGAAGCTGTAGTACTGTAAAAAGCACGACCAATCATTTTAGCCGGCCCGGCTAAAATAACTGGATGGCCTACCTGCCTGTCAGCCTTCCATCTGTGCACAGACTTATCTCGTGCCCTCATTGGTCATGTGCGCGTTCGTGTGTGTTGGAGGAGGGGCTCTGTAAGGAAGTGGCAGATTTTTTCCGGCTGTGTATTTTCACATTTTAGCGCACCGGATGCTGGTTTCTCCAAAATTACCTACCCCACCTTTAACTCCACAGTTCCTACTTGTCACTGTCATTTTTCCCCATGATATACAGCGTACCATTCAATGCTGTGTGATTTATTCTGAGTCTAGCTATCATGATTTCCTCCATTCTGTTTCATTAGTATTATATCTCAACCCCTCCTTTCTATTTATTAGAAAGGGTAAGAGTTGTTGGAATAATTGTGAAAGGAAGTCCTGCGGGTCACCACAGCGCAGTGAGGGCAACTCTGACGCTCATGAAGCTACTCTGCGCCATTTTGACTACTGGCAGCTGAGCCGGCTAGCTGGGCATTGGGCAAGAGGCCAACTGCTGTTCAACTTTCAAGGTGAGTGTTTTCTTTTAACTTACATTTTAATATCGCAAATTGCGCTTCCCTTTCTGTTCGACTTGTCGGATCCGTCCCATTGACCACATTTAAGGTTTAGCTGTTGGGTTCATTTGTTTTTTGCTAACAGGCTAGCTAGTTAGCGTTAGCCTGTTCATGTGTTAACACCTGATTTCAGAGCCAGTAGAACAACAAGTAGATGATGTCGAATACTAAAACCAGCTTGTGTTAGTTATAGTTGTTAGTTGAGAAGCTAACAAGCCTGGCACTTTAACGTAATATGACATCTCGTTGTAAATATTGTTAACGTAGCTAACAAAAGTAAGCTAAGCTAGTTGTAACCAGCAGATGTAACTCGTAATCCAACATTTGACAGCAGCTGATCTGATTAACTTCAGCACATTTAGGTTTTACCAGCTGTACTCTTTGGGTTTGCAGAAATCACATTAAGATGAAATACGTTTTTGTGTCCGTAACAGCTTTGATCTGATTCTGATGGCATAAACAGTGCTGTAAAGTACATTTACTGTGCTGTACTTAAGTACAAGTTTGAGAGACTTGAGCTTTACTTGAGTATTTCAAGTATTTACAAGTGCATTCATACACTCTAGTACTTATACTTGTTTTACTTAAGTACAAGATCTGAGTACTTTTTCCCACTCTGGTGTTACAATAGTGCTTGTTAAATTTGGGTAAACTTCTGCGCTCAGATCAGTCGTTTGACCTCACATTTTTACCCTCACCTCACTCCCCATGGTTTGTGAATTTGGGAAATGATGTTGCTTTTTTAATGCTTTTATGTGTTTTCTTTCTTTTTTTATAGGATGTTTAGGGCCCGCTGGGTCCTGACTTGGTCTTGTCCCATAAGGCCATTGCTGCTATTACGAGAATCTCCCTTCTCTGCTTTGTCTAAACACACTGCTTCTCGATGGCAGGGTGCAAGAGATGTAAAGAAAAGGAGATATGAAGCGACCCGAGGAAGAAAGGAGGGGTCATCACTAAACACAGAGACTGTATCATGTTTAACACAGCTGCCTTTATGTAATGTAGACTGTAATAATCAGAATCCGAAAGATGCTTCATTTCAAAACCTCCTATCCAAAGCCAGTTTGTCCAGCAATCATCACCTCCCTCAGGTTTCTGGCTCTGCAAAAGCTAAACACGCATATCCCTCTTTGAAATCTACTGTAGTGAAAGCTGTGAGCACTTACCAGAACTGTTTTATCAACAAAATGTTTCTTCAACCCTGGAGAAGGGCTTGGGATGTGAGCCAACCTTCACTCAGTTTCACCTATAAGACTCAGTGTAACCCTCTTCAAAGCCATTTATATAGCAGACAGCACTTTGTTAGATCGTTCAGCTTGTCGACACATAGGCCATGGATTTTTAACCAATTAAAGAGCAGACAACAACCTTCTAGCCTCTCTTCCCACAAAACCAGAGGCTTCCATCAGGCTGCCCCTCAGGTGGCCGACACCTGGAGAGATTGTCTGTCGCATGAGAATGAAAACAGGTGTCGACAGAGACTGGGGTCCAATGTGAAGCTGTACGAAGTGGATAAGGGGAAACAGCGGGCAAGCCAGGGAAAGAACCAGGGGAGATGGGCCTCAGTCCTAGTTTCTCTGTGCTCTGATCATGGGGAGCCTGCATTTCTCTTTACTCTGCGCTCCAGCACACTGAAGGGCAGGCACAAGGGAGATGTCAGGTAAGTGGGAGGATAGAAGTTGCATTTTAACTCCTGTAGAAGGCTGCATCTGTTCTTATTTCCAGTTTTTTTTTTCTAGTTTTGCAGGAGGAAAGAGTGATCCATCAGATGTGGATGTGGTGGACACAGCGTTGAGGGAAGCCAGGGAGGAGCTTGGTGTTTCTGTGGCAACAGAGAAGGTCTGGGGCATCCTGAAGCCTCTCAGGGACATGGTGGGTGTCAGTGCAGTGTTATGTATACATCAAATAATACATTTTAAATGTGATGATATAATTATTACTGTTTATGAATGTATGGCAGTCACTAAAACAATTGTGGTAGGGTGCCACTGATGGCTCTACATTGGAGAAACTTCATTCTTAAATATTCTTTTAAATCAATTTGCTTCTCTTAAAAGTTTCTTTTTTATGTGGTTTGTAAAGAGATTAAAAAAAGTATTTAAAAGGACTTCATCCAATAAGCGATAACAATGCCATCAGTCTGTTGATGGTAGTGAAAATGTTAAATTATCTCTATTACAAATTACAAGAGCACATGCTACGACTTCTTATTTAGGACTATCGGTCGCAACCCAGAAATATTCTATTTACGATGCTATAAAACAGTTGGATCGTTTTTTAACACTCACTTGAATATGTAAATTGTTTGTTATTAATTATCTGCAAATTGAATACTCTCCTAACGCTGGAGTTATCCCAGCACTAGCCTTACATTTAGCCTGTTTAGGCCTAAGGCACTTCTCTTTATGTTCACTATTAGACAGACTGTGCTTTGTCATAGGCCACAGATAAACATATCCTAACAATAAAGAAGGAAAAACGTTTTTTGTGTCACCCACACACTGAATACTGAGACTTGCTCTGATTGTAAAGGTAATTTGTCTCTCTCACCAGTCAGGCATGATGATAGCTCCTGTGCTTGCTAACCTCGGGCCCCTAGAGGAGATGTCCTTCAAACCGAACCCTGGAGAGGTACAGTCATCCTATTGTTTTGCATTTTATAAATGTTATATCTGCCTCTGAGGGACAGGTTTCCATATTACTGTTTAGTTTTTTCCAACATCATGGGCATGTTATTTCAGTAATTTCTTCTATAACAGATACTAGTAAAGAGCTGATATATCTTTGTAGGTGTATGATGTCACACCACTATCATAGCCAGCTCTAAATAACTTTTTATACGTATTGTATTTTTTGCTGTTTTGTATCAAATTATCTCCAGGTCTGACTTGGTTATCATCTACCTTAATACTCAGTTAATCAGTTTAAGCTAGCTGGCATTATCTCTCATTTTCTTCCTCGATGCATTTCAAAACACATGTTTTCTGCTTGTTTTCTATCCAAAGTTGTAAACTGTGCCTTCTTTGCCTGTTTCTGTCCCAGGTGGAGGAGATTTTCACCGTGTCCTTGTCCCACTTGTGTAACCCTCAGAACCGTGGCTACACACACTTCCGCACCGGCAACAAGTACGGATACACCGTCCCAGTGTTTCGTAACGGGAAGCATCGAGTGTGGGGTCTGACAGCCATCGCCCTAGACCATACCCTCAAACTTATCATCCCTTCTTAGCAGCAACTTCTTTACACTTGACAGTACACCCCTAATGTGACTTAAAGATTTCATAATAATGTGCAATCCAGCGCTGGAATCGGTTAATGATTTCATTTATGAAGGTGAGGTCCTCTCCAGTAAGGAGAAGGATTTTTCCATTTGTGCACTTTCTTTCTCATTGATAAAGAGCTGGAGTTGGAAATCTGTCAATTTGCAGACATACGAAGTAACAACATTGAAATCTATCCTTATACTTTATTATACCTCATTGTTGGACTGCTTTCATTTTTAAATCCGTGCACATCCTTTTTAATTCAGCTTGAAATCTTATGTTACCAAATAAAAGTATTTAAAGGAGAGGTGTCATGGCCATTTCCACTGATCATAATTCCATTGTTGAGGTCTACTAAAACAATGACGTATCTCCAACGAGGCGTTTTGGGGAGGTATTTTCTGTGTTAGAGTTTTACTCGCTATAGGGTGTACTTTGAGGGTTTTGACTCTGCACACCGTTCACATGCATAAAAACCTTCATAACACACAAGGGGACGGGTAATAACCGGAAAAGCATGACACCTCTCCTTTAAACAAGTTAAATCACTGAGTCCGAGATAACGTTTTCCTTATGCATTTCAAATGAGGCTAGTTGGTATTACATCTTATCATGTGGGCTCAGTTATAACAGTGATTCAGCTCATGCACATTTAGTTTAGCTTTTTATGATTCTAGACTGTTATAAATACTGAAATAATATAAGCACATCATGTGGCGTGTTGATGAACAATGTAAGGTATTCTGGTGGTGGGAGATTGAACACTTTCTTTGCAGAAACATGAAACTAATTTATTATAACTTTAAAGCTACTTTGCCACCATGTTCTGCATACACCACCATTTTTATAGGACGCATTGTGTAATGAGGGTCTCAGTCATGCCAGAAGTCAAACTGCTTTCATTACAACTCTTGAAACAGCTTATCCATACTTAAGCCACTGAGGGATGGGAACGGGAGAACTAAGTTCGGACGCGTGTTCCAGACGATAAAACAATGTCCATACGAGTGTATATCCTTGAATATCCTTTATTTTGTTTTCCATATATATTCACCATGTTGATTGTATCCATATTGCCTTTCTGTTACCATTCAGATGAACATTACGCCTGCCAGTCACGCTCTGATACAAACAGGTTAACACAGCTCATATCGACACGGCTTCTGCCGACACGGTCGAAAACTATTTGCTACCGTCCCACACACCTGCATCTGATCACCCAGTGATTACATTTATACACACTCACAAGTGAATACTCCATCTTGTGTTCAATGTTGGAACTGCATCATTAATTAAACTTGTGCAGATAAAATACAAACAAAGACACATGCATTTTGGCTCCAACAGCTGGTCTGAGTCCAGAAAATGTGTCTCCAGATTCTGGCCTTTTGGCCCTCGAACAAAGCTGCAATTCTGTGTGAAATGTCTTTATCTTTAACTATCAACACATCTGTAACTCTTGCTGCATCAAGGCAGCGAGCACTCCACGGGGTCCTGTGAGTCCGGCAGGAGGTGGCAGTTGAAGGGCCAGCTGAAGGAGAAGAGGTCCAGGGCTTGGCTGCACTGCTGCTCTGCAGAGGAGCAGACTGAGCGGCAGGGCTGGAGGACCCCACCCTGAGGGCTACACTGCGGCAGGAACATCCCGCACACCAGCCTCCGCAGGGGCTCGAAGCACGCCAGCTCCATCAACACCTGGACAAAGAAATGCACAAAAGAGGTTTGTGTGTGTGGGATGATGAACGTCTGCCTTGAAAGAAGCTGTACATTTGTAGGAAGATGCTATAGCCGAGAAATAGGCCCAACGTTTTAAAGATCATACAGTGGCGAAAAGAAAGAGAGGTAGTGAAGATGGCTGTTACCCGGTACTGTCCCAAGAGTATGGCAGCTTCTCTCTGATCAGCAATGGACAGCCAGATGTTTGGGAATGAGGTGAGGTTGTAGCTGAGGCCTTGACACATCTCTACCTCTATGGACTCACACGATGAAGCTGAGGGCAAGAGGAATATAAATCATCCCTTTTCTTATTTTACATGTTTGTACTCTCATATTTGGCATTCAGAAAACGTTTAGTCTCTAATATACAAAGGTAATCTGCCGAAGTGTGGCTCTGGAAACAAAAACTACTGTATTATGTGACACTAGCAGGACGCTGATCGGGGTCAGAGATAAGATGGACTCACTGAAGGTGGGGTAGGTGGAGTTACCACAGCCCTGCTCATCTCCCCCGTCAGGGCAGTCGTTCCATCCATCACACAACCACTGCTGCTGGAGACACTCCCCTGTGCTGCAGGAAAACTGGCTGGGACCACATGTCCCTTTTAAATAAAGACAAAACACACAGGAGAGGGGTTTAGGAAGCAAAAGCATGTATGTGTAAGGAAAAGGAACAATAATTGTGGCATCCAAGGGAGTTTACCAAAGCATCAGGTATTACTGCCAATTTTTGAAGAGAAGTTGTAGGTCATAAGGAAAGAAGGAAGCAAGGACCGGAGGGAGAGATCTTATAAAAGAGGTAAGATTTCAAGAAAATAAGGAAGGGAAGGCAAAGAAGAACAAATAGGAAGTAAAACACTAGAAGAGAGGAGAAAATATGCAAAGAAAAAGGGAGTGGGGAAAGAAAATAAAAAGTTGCACTCACGGTCCAGTATTGACAATGCCTGGTATGTTGCATTGAAGCCGCTGTCTGCCACTCCATCATCAGCCTCAAACACCACCGTCATGTGGGGGCCGGAGGAGGTCAGGTCAGGTGGGAAGGTGGTGCCACAAAACCTGAGATAAGACAAGATGAAGGAAACACTGATGGATACATGTTATTTCTTTGGACATTTATGTTGTATATTCACTACTGTATATTGTTCTTTTCTTTACATGCCTGTCAGGAGTAATAATGACAGTAAAAGCAGTTCAACTTTATAATTTGAGCTAACGTTATTGTGCATGTGGATGTAGTAGGTTTCACCTTCCCAGTACTCTTCCAGATCCAGTATTGATGCTGTCGTGTACCTCCACGTAGTCAAACTCACACACATCCTGAGTCTCCAGACTGAAGTTCCTGAAGCTCAGTGTGATGACGTGACCCTCCTCAACAGATATATACCATACGCACAACTGATGGTACACAGAACAACACCGGATTAGTGAGAAACACAAGTTTCAAAGCCCTGTAAACATAAGTGTTGTGTGTGTGTCTGGCTGTAAAGAATGACCTGCTGATGAGGATAAGGCCTGGGATGGTTTGGACTTGACAAGTAACCATATGGCCCGGTTTTTGGCCCTCCACATTCTGTGAAAAAACAGGGTGGAAACAAAGTCCATACATTTGCTTTAAGTGCCTGTTTTTACCTTTGCTTGCATGCTCTCACCTTTGTGTTTATGGCTGCAGTTTGCCTCATCTGTTTGGTCATGGCAGTTTATATGCCCATCACAAATAGACACAGGCAGCAGACAGCGCCCTCTGTCACACATGAACTCTTCCCTGGAGCAGCTCTCTGAGAACACACACAGCATACATGCACATAAATGCAAAGGGCATGAGTTAAAGAGTCCTGTATTTGCAGATGCGTACAGACAGTACTGACTGTGTCCAGGCTGGATGGCTCTGTACTGCGCAGTGAAGCCGCTGCCTGCGATGCTGCCGTCAGAGTGGAAGGTGACCCACACTGTGCTGCTGTTTGTGTTGACTGTCGGTGGTGCTACGTTACCACAGAACCTGCAGGAAGAGAATAGACCTTTTGAATAACCTTAAACTTTTGTTTTAACAATTATGGCTTTGTTTGTCAAGTCTGACCAATTATGGCTTTGTTTGTCAAGTCTGACCTTTATTCGACCAAGGGTTGTGGGCCAGTTATGAAACATGTCATGAATAGTATTACATCCCTTGCCCAGAATGCAAGTAAGCAAAAAGGTCAACGTTTTCACATGTACCAAAATATTTCCCAGAAGCTCCCAGTACCCAGAAGCACACTTCTGTTCTGCACGGACCTTTGGTGCCATCTACCAACAATTTAAGGTATTGAATTATTTATATGGCCATTATTTAACCAGGTTTGTCCAATTGATCTTGCCAAAAGTTGCAGCAGTGCAAAGTTCAAACAATAATCAAAGAAGCATATTGTTTTGAGTAATAATCAGATAAAACCTTTGCACGCAGACAGCACTGGACACAATGCTTCGGGGGAACTATTTTTTCAAGTTTAAGATCCATCTGTAGATTACAGACAGTATTTATAATGGTAATGAACCTTATAAATTTCCCTCAGAAAAGAATGTGTTCAGAAATGTTTGAAAGTTGTGCATGAATGAGACAAGTTAATTTAATTGTTCATACCTATACACTCCAAAGTGTACTTGCAACAACACACATCTATACTTTGCCTCTTTATCCCTCACATGTATACAACTTTGTTTTTCTACAGAGTGACAGTTTGTAATCGAAACATTTCCAATCAACCAAAAAGTTAGAGTGCAAAGTTCAAAGTCTTATTAAACAGAAGCATGGGGCTTTTAAAGGAGCACACTTGGCATTGCAGTAGGCTATTCCCAGACATAGCTGGAGTGGGACCAACCTGGTTACCACAGAGCTCTGATCCCTCTGCTCCTGAACCTCCAGCCAGTCAAAGAGGCAGGGAGAAGGCCCCTCCACAGTCAGAGAGGAAATGTGGATCTGCACCACGGAGGAGGGTGGGACTCGGATCACCCACACACACAGCAAGTTGGGGGGGTAGGAGCCAGGGTGGTTTGGGGTACTGAAACTGCCCTCTGAGTCAGACAACACCCCTCCGCAACCTGAGAAGGAACACTTTATTTTAGTTACAGAAAGCAAAAGGGCCTCAAAGTAAAGAAAAACTCAATCTTATTCAGTGAGGATGGACATGAAAATGAACATGCACATTTAGTATTTTAAATAACACATTAAATGGTCATTTTATTGTAATCACTTACGTGTTTCAGGAGGTGGGATCCTAGCAGGCTGTGGTGCTGTTGTACTTTCCTGTTGACTTGTGTTGGCAGAGATTGTGGGTAGAGTAATATTTGGCGCTTCATATCCTGTATTTAGCCGATTTGGAGAAGTGGTGGACATCAACTCATTCTCCACTGCCTGGCCTTTTATCTCTAAATCAGGGCCAGAAAACAAAAACTGTAATGGATGGAAACATTACAGGGAGACTGCAGAGAAAAGGCTTATTCTAGATAGAAAAACAGTGCTGTATTGGTAAAGTCCTGATACAGTATGTTTTTGCATTACAAATAGGAACACATCTAGGTATGCAACCTGAATTAATAAATGTATTATTGTTCTCTCGAAAGCTGTTCAAATCAAGTTCAGGTATTTATTTTTCACTGTGACATTAGCACTGCAGCAGTAACTCACGTGTGAGGAGAAGAGCCAGCGCCAGTCCGAGGGCTGTTACCAGGAGCAGGGCAGCAGCAGAGACCGCCACCCCCCCAGCCACAGCCCGGGCCCCGCAGACGTATCGCACACACCCCCAACAGACCCCAACCTGGACCGGAATTACAGGGCACACATTCAATTTATATGTATGTAGCCTACGTATGTGAAGTCAGAGGCACTTGAAATGTCTACTCTTTGGCTAACAACTCATTGGTATTACAATATGCATCATATGTAGTATTAAAGAAGGCTGTCAACTTACCAAATTCTCCAAGGACACTTTCCACAATCCGAGCAATGCTTCTCTCTCACATTTTACAATGATTTAAGATTTAAAGCTGAAAATACACTACTTTCCCGGGCTTTGCAACCGGACAAAATACTACGCTAAATCTGTAATGATCCTTTTTTGTTTGATTAATTGTTTACTGTTTTCAGTTAGTTTTATTTGTATTGCCCTTTCATGGAGTTGTTGAATTTTTGAGAAATAGATTGAAAGAATGATGACCAAATCCATCATACTTTTACTTCCTTGGATGTAAGGGCCCTATTTCCCATGATACAACAGTGGTGTCTTTCATAAGCACAACATGCCTGCTAGTCATCCATGTCTTCTCCTCTACAGGCTTTCTTTTATAACTTTTTAAGAAAAAGAGCAAGAAAATACATTTTACAAGTGTTATCACTGGCTGTGGGACTAACCATATCCAGTGAACGGATCTTTGATCTACACAAAATCTAGGGGTTACTCCTCTGGTCTGTTACAATGAATCATAACAAATACACACTTCTGTACTATTCTTCACGAGAGTTGAATTTAAAGCCAGCAGAGTCTCTAGGTGATGCAATAATGTAACTAATCCAAAACACATACACAGTCTAATCCAGCTCAAGCATAGATACAGTAAGCAGCAAGCTGATTGGCTGACTCACTAGCTGCCGGCGGTTTGATTGGTTCAGGGGTGGACGAGGATGTCCTGAATCCCTCCACCCGCTCCTCTCGCTCCCCCTCCAGCTCAAAGGCAGGGTTGCAGAACACATTCTGTGGAAAGCGGAACAGAAAGAAGTAATGAAACTATCAATAAATAAACTTCATACAGTTACAGACAACATTTGTGTTAAGAAGTGCTCATTTAAAAGCAAGATTGTATACAATTTAAACAATGTATATGTATAAATAATCTTATTTTTTAAATATAAAGATGAATTAGTTAAAGGTGGGGTAGGTAAGTTTGAGAAACCGGCTCGAGATACACTTTTTGTTATATTCCATGGAATGCTCTTAACATCCCGATAGCAATGAATATCTTAAGTGCTTTGACAAAAAATCCATACAAAAATGTCATCTGTGGAAGCCGTAATACTGTAAAAAGCACGACCAATCATTTTAGCCGGCCCGGCTAAAATAACTGGATGGCCTACCTGCCTGTCAGCCTTCCATCTGTGCACAAACTTATCTCGTGCCCTCATTGGTCATGTGCGCGTTCGTGTGTGTTGGAGGAGGGGCTCTATAAGGAAGTGGCAGATTTTATCCGGTTGTGTATTTTCAAATTCTAGCGATCTCGAGCCGGTTTCTCAAACTTACCTACCCCACCTTTAACAAAGAAACATATCATCCATTTTTTGTATGTGCTTAAGGGTTTTCCTGCTGCAGCTTTAGATAGTCTGGTAGCTTATGGTTGTTACTGTTAGCAAACTAAACATTGTTGTATAACTGTAAGCTATAAAAGTCAGTTTGCTAATTATTTTCTGTTTATGGTCATGGTCATTCAAAACTTTTTGTTGAAGGTTGGTTGTTATGTTTTCAGCAACACAGTGCAACGGTGTACTGTTCCCTGTCAGTTTTTTTCCTTATACAATGTTTTTGGATTAATTTCACTACTGCATTAATATCTTGCATCTTACTACTGTGAGTGCTTGAAGTTGTGCTCATTTGAACTCCTTCATATACTCTGTAGTTTAATCTTTTATGAGAATAGTATAACAGCAATGCTTTTTTGTGGCTTTTCCAGCTAAACCCAGGACTTTCTGTGAATAGTAAATATATCTAGAAGAAGAGTTTTCTCTACACATGAAGGAACACTTCACCCTTCAGTGTACCAAACACATTCAAATCAAACACATATAGAGATACAAGGTTTTACTGAACATGAAGGGTATCAAAAATTGAAAAGTAAATTAAGCTGTCAGATAAAAATAGTGGAGTAAGACATCCAGTGAAAAGAGGAATAAGAGTGTTGAAAACAATAAAGTAACATAACATGGAAATCGTAAGTAATAAGTAAATTAGTACGTTTTACTATTCAAAAAGGTACTTGGATAATACTTAGTTACATTCCAATGCTTAACATAAAGTACTGTAACGTTTACATTGATAATGCATAAATGATAAATAGGTTTCCAGCCTAAAATGTAAACATGGTCCAAATAACAGCATAAAAGCAGGACTGAAGGCCAATGACTGTGAACTGTACATGACGAACTGGCATACAAAAGGTTCCAGGTCCACAATGTTTAAGAAATACGTATAAACAATATATTTTAGAGAGGGGGAAAAGATACCCATTCAAAAAAAAGCCCTCCATTTTGAAAGCAAGGATCACAATGGACTATAAAAAGGGTCTAGTTTGCATATTGGTTGACAATTTCCTGCTTAATTTCTCAGTAACCCTGTGACCTTTTCCACATCTCCTTCAACCATCATCCCATCATCCTCGCTCACCTTGTAGATATCTGAAGAGTCTGAGTACACTGCAACTTGGCTGAGGTCAGACATCTTCGGTCCGCTGTCACTCTTTCGGAGGTTCTTAAAGAGCCTGAAGTTGTGCTAATTACATCTATGGTGACATTGTGAAGAAAGCCGTTTCTACATGAGGGAGTGTTAAAGATATTTTCCTTGGTTTTCTTAACATTTTTCCCTTCTGGCTCCTACAGTAAACTTCCACCTGGGTTTAGTAAGCTTACAGCCTTCACTCTCCCAGCACAGCAGAGCTCTTTGTTGGACATCCATAAATGTAATCCAGATAAAAAACAAAAAAATGAAAACAATGTAATTCACGTAAAATAATTGTCAAACTCCAGTTAACAGAATATCCATGTTTGCTGCTATCCTGTAGCCTTGGGTCTGTTTTTGCAGCACTAGTCTGTATTTCTGTGTTGAGGTGAGTGGTTACAAAGGAGTTTTAGAAACTCCTTCACAGTGTTGAACAAATCCGAGTCAGCTGAGAGGACTGAGCCCCTCGGAGGAGGAGGGAGGACGGGGGAAAGGGAGATGGGGTGAGGGTGGAGGTGTGGGTCCCTGTTAAAGCTCAATAATCCCCATAATGATCTTTTAAGCTCCTAAAATGTTTTATTCACATACGTTTGCATGCCCAAACCTTGGCTAGCAGGTGCATTAATACAGAAAAACAAATACACATGAGCACAACACACACTTTAAAAACCCATAGCATTGGCACAGAGACAGTCTTGAGTAATAATTCGGGTTATTAGGCATTAATTAAAACGGCATTGTGCTGAGATTAAGTTTGACAATGCTGAACTAATGCAATTCATGCTGAGATTGTGAGATTAAAGACTGCATTAACAGGCTCATTGCACTTCAGTTAAGTGCCCTGATAGACTTTATTTTAAAAGGTTTGGAGAAACCCTTTATGAGACCACTCTTGACTTTAAATTAATAAGCTATGTCAAAAAGTCACCAGAGACATATTAAACTCCACAGAATCCTAAAAAGAGAACCCTTTTGCAATCAAAAATGAAAGTAAGAGCTCAAATCTGTGTTCTGACCTAAATTGCTCAATCATTTGTTCCCTTTTTGGTGCTGCTGTGTTAATGGGTAATCGGTCATCAAATAAAGCGGTTGACTGTTGTTCGATAAGGACACTCTCGCTGTGGTTTCTGTCACTCAAAGACACAAATACCACTGATAGAGTGCAGTCATGTATGTCAAACCAATACTTTGGATACTACTCTTCAGCTCTGTCCAAGAGGGTGAGCATTTAAATGTTATCTTACTGAGTGTAATTACATCGAATTTACATGGAACCATATGGCTGTTTTGACTCTTGTCTGTGTCCACTGTTTGATTATCCTTGCATGAAGTGATGCATGTTTATTTCTGTGTGTGCTCAAGTGTCACTGCAGGAGTATAATTATGATTATGAAACATACGAGGATCCACAGCCTCTGAGCTGCTTAATCCCCGAGAACATCAAAGGTGGAAATGTCACCTACTCACAGGTAAAGATAACATATTTTTCCCGCTGTGGGACTTATAAAGGATTTCTGATCTGATTCTGAACACTGAGCTGAACACATCAGCTGTATCACTGATTGTGAAGAGGACAGAAAATGTAATCACAGACACCTTTGTCACACCATGACAAATACCACCAAATATTCTCTAGGTTTATCTTCATCTACAAAAAACTAAATAAATGTGATGCTTTTGTATTGTTTTGTTTTGGTGGTAGGTGGTCAGACACAATTTGAAAAGAAATCACCTTTTTGAATAGTTACTTCTCAATAGATAATTTAAAACATTTGTTAAATAAATGTAAAGACCATGTGTTAATTTAATGAGGGAGAAAGTCGTCGGATAAATCCACAGTGAAAACGATTATTAATTGCAGCACTACTGTGAACCTTAATAAAGCCTTTAATTACTTCATGACAAAAAGTCTAGGTGGTCACATTTTACACCAAAATGAAAGATGATATTGTGTATAGGCATTCGTTTCAGCTCTGCTACCCTGATGTAGTTGTTCCTTATGTATATGACAAAAATATAATATGTATAATAATCACATTTTAGAAATGTAAAACAGGGACAAAGTAAGGCACAGCACTGAATTTCTCACTATTGAATCATGATAAAAAAGGAACTACGAGGTCAGGGAAGTGAAAGGAATCAAGAATCCCTTTACTGGAAATCTTTCTGTCTCTCGATTTAGCTCCAAAAGTGACCATGTGCTTCCTCTGCAGGGAGGGATGGAGGGAAGTGTGCTGACTTATCACTGCGGCCCGGACCAATACCCTTTCCCCGTCAGTTCCAGGCTCTGCGGCAATGATGGGGAGTGGTCGGTCATGAGATCAAACAATGGAAGACAGACTTCACGGGCCATATGCAAAGGTAATTGTTTGGGTGACGATTACCTTTGGTTTAGTATATTCAAATGTATTGATCTCTCAATGCATCCTCTTCTCCTAACCCTTGATCCTCTTTTCCACCTCTCTTCTGCTCCCAGACATCTTGTGTCCGGCTCAGCTCCAGCTGGATCACGGTGACTTCTGGCCCCGGGACCAGTGGGCCCGTGTTGGGACGACGCAGACCTTCTCCTGCCAGGAAGGGTTCACCCTGTACGGCTCAGCCCAGAGGAACTGCACCATGTCTGGGGAGTGGACAGGAACCACTCCCATCTGTGACAACCATGGTGAGGACGGACAATATAACAAACCTCACTCATGATAAAGCAGAAATCATGTGTCTGACTACAATATGGCTGCGTTTTCTCCTCTTACTACACCTCAGTGCAATATAGAATAACAAAGAATATCCACTTTAAGTACATGAGGCCCCGAGCTCCCATTATCAGGTGTATTAGAGCCTATGGTACAGTGAGCATGCACTGACTAAGCTCTTGCTTACTTAGGTTTACATTGTAAAGCAGCTTTTGATGAATGCATATAATGATCCCTGTAAATAGATTTCATACAGTAGTTTACTGTGGTTACTGTGACACAAAACAGGTCACTGATTGAATTCAATGTCTTACAATACATTTCATTAAACTGGCGCTTCTTTTCAAAGCAACAACTGCAATCAACCATGAGAGTACACATTTTGAAATAATCCTGCAATTGCATTATCTTCAAATAAGCCAAACCATTTTAAGTGCTACATACAGAAATTATACTTTAAAAAAAATGTATTTTCCTGTCCAAGGTGCAGTCAAAACAGATGGGTTTTCATTTTGCGACAGATAATGTGTAGACTTTCTGCTGTTTTGATATCCCTGTGGAGCTCATTCCACCATTTTGGAGCCAGCATGGCAAACAGGCATGTATTGGCATGGTGCCAAGTCCCACTCTCAGTGAGTGAGACAGCCCAAATATTTTTTTTATTACAAATAAAGTTATGTTCTGAACATTTGAATACAAGCACAGACATACATATCTGCTCTAAATCAATGGTTATAAACAAAATAAATAATAATATTCATTGTATATTCTGCTACCTGTCGCCACGCTGCAGCTGACGACTGTAGTAACCCAGGCATCCCACCGGGGGCTCAGAGGTCAGAGGGTCGCTTTCAAACAGGGGAGAAAGTGATCTACCGCTGCCAGGCTGGTCTGGATCTGCTCGGGTCGGCTGAAAGGGAGTGTCTGGAGAGCAGGGAGTGGAGCGGCTCAACACCACGCTGCCAAGGTGCAGAGGAGCTTTTGATGTTTTACCTTTTAAATAACAGAAGCACATTTATTAAGGCCAAACAATGATCTGCAGTATTGGACATCAAAGCAGTGCCATAACAGTACACTGTGAATTATTACAATATGATACAATGCATGACATCTTTGTGCTTTTCTGCAGGCGCACATATGTTTGACTCCCCCAGTGTTGTGGCAGCAGCCATGGCTGGGTCCCTTGCAGGAGTCATGGATGTTATCTCACCGGACTCCAAAAAGACTGGTTAGTATGACTTGTAACAGAGATTTCAACATGACATTTCAACAGTGCATAAACAACACAACAGTTTTAACTGCAAAATCTAAGGAAACCATGCTGAATGAAACTGCAATTGTTTTTTCTTAATCTGTGCATGTTAGAATCGTCGGCGTCCTTTGCCCGCACCGTCCTTGTGTCTGAAGGCAGTCGTATAAACGTTTACATTTTACTGGACACATCAGGAAGCATCACAAAGCAGGACTTTGAGTTATCCAGGAATGCAACCATTGCTCTCATCAGAAAGGTCTGTGTCTCACAAGCTTACTTGCTTCAACAGATGTGGGTGAAAGACAGAGACCATTTTTTTTTATTTGGTGTTATCGTTGTTACCTGTCTTCCCCTCTCAGTAGGTTTGAAACATAGACCACATGTATTTTTTGTATTTTCCTTCTAGTTGGACAGCTACGAGGTTCAGCTGAGGTTCCATGTGTTGTCATTTGCCACTATGGTAAAAGTCATTGTAGACATCACACACTCGGATATCAGTGGAAACATTGACGACGTCATTTGGAATCTGGAGGGTTTCAACTATACCAGTAGGACTGTCCTCATTCATTCGCTTAAAGCTTTCATCTAATGACCAGGCTACAACCATGATGCACCATGTGTTTAATAGTTCAAGAAATGTCCTATCTTTTGCATCTGTACATCTGCAGGCCATGGGCGTAAGACAGGAACTAACCTCCACGCTGCCCTCTATGGAGTCAGTGAGAAGATCAACTTCCTCAAGCAAAACAGCGCCAACAACCATTTTAATGAGACTCAAAACATCATCATTATAGAAACAGACGGTAAAAACACAGACAAATGTCTTACAACAGCATCTTTTGAGCATCTCCAGCTCATGAAAATCTTTTACAACTCATTAGAGCTTGTAAGACATAATAAGAGGGTTAACTTTAGGATACAGTGAAGGCGTTCATACCCTCTTTATGTCTTTCTGCCTGCAGGTTACTCCAACACAGGCAAAAAGCCTGAGATTGCCCTGGCCCAAATCCGGAGTCTGCTAGGTTACCGAGATCAAACCAATGATAACACAGATGAAACCAAGCTGGGTATCAAGATTTAAGAATGTTTTTAATAAATGTTTTAATGGACCATGTACGATAGACAGTTTAACTGTGCATCATAAACCTAGCATGGAAAGCAAGTTAGTGTGTGGTTGTGTGTTGACATGGTTGCTTTGCCTATTATAAGAAATGTTGTGTGTCTGTTTGCAGATGTCTATGTATTTGGTATCGGCAGCAAAGTAAAGAAAGATCAGTTGAACTCCTTAGCCTCAAAGAAACGTGGTGAGCAGCACTTATTCGTTGTGCGAAACTACCAAATACTTGGAGAGGTGTTCAACAGCATCATAAGTAAGTGGGAGATCACTCTTGGACAGATTTCAGCTCTAAAGTCAGAAGAAGATTAACATTTGAAAACATAAAATATACAAAGGCCCTGAAAGGCAAAGGAGGAAATCATTCTGTCATTGTATTTTTTTAGCTTAATTATTTAATTTTCTCTGTTTATTGAAAAATAAATGTTTGTCGGGATGAGTGTTTATTATTGTTGTCATACTAATTTCAACCACAAGTGGCCTTATTGCTCCACAGAATAAATACAACAACAAAGGGGACTAAGAAAATACTCCTGACCATTTTTTTAAAAACTCATTGACAAATATTTTCTTTATATTTTTCAAATGCATAAATGATTATAATTTGGGAAACAATCTTGGCATTTTTTACCTGCCTATCTTTCGCACATTTGTTTCACAGATAAAATAATATTATTTGAGGAATTTAAACATATGCTAAAACAATTGAGAGCAGACTACATCAGAAATGTACTTCCCCCTTGCCTTTCCGGCTATCCAAAAAACATGTTTGCTCGTTTAAAAAATGTCATACCGATATTTGAGTTACTTAAATCTAACCATTAAAATGTCTCATAATCCAGGTGACAAGAGTGTGACCATGTGTGGGATAGCTCAGGAATGGGAGGAGCATACGAAAACCCACACCAGACCCTGGCATGTCACTGTGGAAACAATCAATAAGGTCAGTCTAAGTCTAAGGTCAGTCACTAAAATCATAATGGAGATTTTATATTTCAAATTGGATTTTCACACAATAAAACTTTTCTTTCTTATAGATAACGCCAGCGTGTGTTGGATCCATTGTGAGCCAGAACTGGGTGCTGACAGCTGCTCACTGCTTCGCCAGGGCGAGCACAGAAGACCCTCCGAAGGTGCACATTGGTCACGGTCAGTGTCATCAAAGGAACATCTTTCAAAGATAAAAAAAAACATAGTATAGTATGTTCAAATTGTCAGAAAAAACTACATAGTATAGTACTTCCAAAATATTGGAAATAATAACATAGTATATAGTATGTTGAAAATATGCAAACAAACGACATGGAACAGTGTATTGAAAAATTGCATACTACATATCAACAAATAGAAAACTAATCCTAAATAAAACAAATAAACAAGTCGCACATAGTCTAGCGGTTAGGATTCCTGGTTTTCACCCAGATGGCCCCGGTTACTTTAATTTATTTTGTATTTATTTATTCACAAGTGTCAATAAAAATAGAACTACAATCATACGACATAATGGAGATATGTGTAATGTCCCAATTAGCTATAGGAAGCTTGAGAATAGGGCCCCAGACAATACACATAAAGTATTTAGATATCATTTATACAGCACATATATAATTGAGAGAGTTCATGTGTTGTGCAGAAACATTACAACCCAACCCGTTCAATTCCCGATATGGGAACAGGGTTGAAAATGTGCAAAAGAATCGACATAGTTGAAATTGTCAGAAAAAAAATACAATGGGATTTCTGGCATTAGTTTTCTCGAGTCAAAACATAAACTCTTCAAGTGTTATTGCCTACAGTAACAGATTGTGTCAAATAGAAGGTCTAGATAGGTTTTCTATTAACTTCATGAAATGACAAGCTGCTTCTTTGGCTCCCAGGTGAGGGCAGGGTGGTTTCCGAGAGGGTGATCATGCACCCCAAGTACAACACCAGGGCGCTCAAACACAGAAACGTATCGGAGTTCTACGACTACGATGTAGCTCTGGTTCAGGTGACCAAGAGTATCCCGCTCTCATGGAAAGCCAGGTAAGACAGCAGGAGGAAAAAATGTTGTTAGACACAAGTGATACACCCAAGAAAAGGGTGTAGTGCCAAAAAATGAGCTTTTAAATTATTATTTAATCATTTTATTTACAAGACATTTCTTTCTTTTTTATGTTATGGTTTATATTATTTTGTATTACTTTTTTTTTAATTTGATTTGATTTGTATTGATGTTATTGTCTAATTTTATGTCAGTACAGCAAGCCCTAAAATGTTGTCTTTCAGTTTTTACTGTGTACAAGCAAACAAGTACATTGTAACTACTTTTGAAAAATGTTGGAGAGAAAAACCTACTATTGGCCCACAATGGTGTAGCTAAAAAATGTAATGATACTGTATGATGTCCTTTTGTTGTTCTGTTTGTTTTAATGTTTCATGTGGAACCTACTTGAGCAGGTCTCCCTTGAAAAAGAGATCAATGATCTCAATGGGATACAACCTGGATAAATAAAGGTTTGAAATGAAATGAAAGGGATTTAACAAGTTAAGCCCCAAGCCTGTTTTTTTAGGTCTCAGCCTCGAAAATGACATTCCCAGAACAAATGACTATATCTTCACTTCTAAAAGGGGTAAATTAATCATATTTTTTCTCAAAGCAATGATAAACCTGTGAGTTGGATGTAGAAAAGTCAGAATCAATATAGATTTTTTTTTATTTTAAAGTAAATTCAGATTGAACATAGTAAAAAAATGTAAATTATAGTGTCCGTCCAAAAAAACAAACATGACTTATAGTGAAAACCACCCTTGAATTATGGGATAGTAGCTAAAGCAACTAAAAGCTGTAGGAATCCAAACTATACTAACATATAATAAGTACTCTGTATCAAGATTGATGCAAAACAACATTTGACCTTTTTAGAGAGGTTTTGCAACAAAAACCACTTCTGGGGTAATTTGGGTGGATTTGCCATATCTCTGCCCCCCCTCGGTCGATTTTGATGATTGACACCTCTTTTGAACCGTTAGAGCCAATAGAATCGAGGGGAAGTTCCTAAATCCATCTAAACATTTTCATTGAGGAGTGAGAGTGATACGCACGCAGTTTGCCCAAAACCAGAAGCTGGGTTGTAGCTCTAATAGCAGCTAATATGAAATCTCAGTTTTTGACAAAAATGGAATGATGGATTATCAGTAATCATTTCAAAGTGACACAGACACATTGGATTAACCTTCAGCAGCGTTTTTCTCGTTTTAATGCCATTGAACACAACTTTTGATCAGAAAAACAGCAAAGGTAAGACTATTTGCCGTTTTGGCTCAGTAAAGCTACGCTGTGTGTTGTCTGGGTTTTGCCTGAGCTGCCGCGAGTTTTGATCGCACAGTGATGATACTTATACCGATAGAATCTGTGGAATCTCAGCTTTCTATATATATATTGTTTGTGCAGATCCGATAAGTAATTAAGTATTTCTACCGTGAGTTCTGTGCTAAGTGCGTTAGCATTTTTTCGCTCAGGGCACATTTAGACGCTTCTCGTGAGACTTGTGTTTTGTTTCGGTAAAAATGGTTCGTATCGTCAGTTGGCTGAGCTTCTTCCCGTTAGTTGGGTATGACACATTCATAGTTTGTTAAATGTTAAGAAGCCCTCAGACGCTGGGGCTCAACAGGATAATGAATGCAACTACATAAACGTCCCTGAGGGTGAGTGTTGACTGTGTGTGTGTGTGTGTGTGTGTGTGTGTGTGTGTGTGTGTGTGTGTGTGTGTGTGTGTGTGTGCGTGCGTGTGTCACACTCCAGGCCTATCTGCTTGCCATGTACTGTGGCAGCCAGCAGAGCCATGAAGAGAGTCAACTCCACCTGTCAGGAGCACAGTAAGTGACCTTTGGACTGCACAGAAGCATTTATATTACTAGGAGTATAAAAAATATATTGCAACAATGTTAAATTGGAGGCGTGTGGCGCAGTGGATAGAGCCTTGGTATGGGGATCAGATGGTCAAAGGTTCAAACCCCACTGCAGTCAGCATGTCGTTGTGTCCCTGGGCAAGACACTTCACCCTAAATTGCTCCTGTGGGGATTGACCACAGTATTGAGTATGTAAGTCACTTTGGATAAAAGCGTCTAACATGTGATGTAAAATTGTAATTATTTTAATAAAACGTAGAATTCAGACTCAGAATTAAAAAAGAAAATCTGAAAGATCCCTTAGTATTTTAATACAAAATGTATCTGTCTATACAGGGAAGGAACTACTACCGCACGAGGAGACAGCCGCCTTTTTCATCCATAAGAACGACAAAATCAAACAAACACATATCCAGACGGAGAGTCAGGTGAGTGACAGTCGATGAAAAGACTGTGGGCTGCATTATAACTCACACTCAATTAATGATGTGGAGGCAGTGGTGGGTTGTGCTTAGTATACTAAGTATATTTAATACTGTACTTATATACTATTTTGAGGTACTTGTACTTAAGTATTTCTATTTTATGCTTTTTTAAACTTCTGCTGAATTACATTTGAGAGGAAAATATTGAACATTTACTCCACTACATTTATTTGAAACTAAATAACTAGAAACTTCTAAAATATAAAACACATGTTTTGCTGATGTGATGCTGTACTATACTATTATAAAAGTGTTGTACGAGGTAAAATACGTGTAAATTGGCTACACATTGATGAACAGCATTAATACATAATTGCCAGCGATACAATTGAAAATTATATTTAAAAAAGGACCTTTAAAAAAAAAGATCTATACGAGTGCTCCTGTTTAATACTATATGTACATTTAATGATAATACTTAAATATTTGTACTTAAGGACTTTTAATTGTAATTAGCGTTTATATCTATTTTTTACTTAAGAATCCCACTCCTTTTCTTAGCACTGCCTTGAGGATATACTTCTGTTTTATTGTGAAAGTGTTGAAATGTAACTCGTCTTCTGTCTGCAGAGACCCAGCTGTGTGGAGAAGGCGAGGCAAACACTCAAAGACCCCACCAATGTGACTTTGGATGAGTACATACCCGACAGATTCCTGTGTACTGGGGGGTCCACAGCATATAAGGACCCCATCACCTGTAAAGGTCTGGACTCTGCACTTATTGTATCTGGCTGCCAGTTTGACCAACATGGGATTCACATTAATGTTTGTCTCTTTTCTTTAAGGGGACTCTGGTGGATCCCTTTATCTGCAAAAAAGAAAGCGTTACTTTCAGGTCAATAAGAGGTTATTTATTATCAAACAACATATTTTTAGATTGTCCAATCAGCATCATAAAGACGTTTCTCCTGTTTTCATCTCCAGGTGGGAGTCGTGAGCTGGGGCACCACAGACGTATGTGACGCAGGCCTCAGAGGGACCAGCGACAATCCGCCTCCCGATGCACGAGACTTTCACATCGACCTTTTCAAGATAATGCCGTGGCTGAAACAGCATCTGGGTCAAGAGATCCAGTTCCTGCCCGAGGTCGAACACCAATAATCAATCAGCTGAGAACCGCCAAGATTTACGCCAAAATAAAGTAATGCAGTTTTCAATATAGCTCACACAGGAATAAAGGACAATCGTAGACAGTGATATCAAGTGTTTTCCAAAGCTTTATTGTCAAACAGAAGATTGTTAATTCACTCAGAAGGACGTCCTTATCATACACGATATAAAAACAAAAATATTCCTTGTTTTAACACTGAATTATTTATATACTGAACATGTATAACATATGCATGAAACTAGGCAGATATATAATATGGAAATATATCTGTACATTGACATAATAATGTAGATCAAACACTGATTTAATCCAAGTTTAGTTACCATTACAGGTCTTATATCATTGTTGCAGTTAGCCATTCAGATTGCATAATACTGTGAGCAATGACAATCAGCTCTGCACAAATCTCAGATCTCACACCTCAGCTGCTTCACTGGCTGTTATCTCTATTGTTGCTGTGGCAGGGAGAATGTGGAGGTCAAAGTTGTTAGAAGCCTATCCTCCAATCAGCCCTCAGAAAACTGCCTGAACAGGATTTCTGATTGGCTGTCTTTAAAGTTCGGCACAAAGTGGATCTGGAGGATCTCGGAGAATCCCTCGGAGAGAGCAGGAGCCAGAAAGTGTTTCCTGTCCAGAAAGAGATTCAGATCAGTACCAGGGCCATTACCAGTACAATTATTACCAAAATTAAAAAACATTTTTTTTTTGTTTTTTTTCATAACAGGAAGCAAAGAAGAAGAATCTGTGTAGCATGCATTTAGCTAGATTTACTTAACCTCAGTGCTTTAGTTTTAAGCTTTTTTGCACAAGAAACAGATATGTTTATAGGAAACATCGTCAGTGTCACTCACTTGAAGCTGTGGAAAATCATGTCATTGACCTTCATATGTTTGCTCTCTGATGGATTCATCTCTCGGAACTGAAAACAAATGTGCATGAATAAAAACACTGATGAATAAAAACAGGATAAAGAGTGAAGAGTGAGTTTAGAGGAGAGTCATACTCTGTTGTTGTGTTTGGCTTGCTCCAGAGAGGCGGAGAAGTGGAAACAGCGACACGGCACTCCGGCTGCCTTGGTGACGTCCACATATCTGGAAAATACGAAAGAATGTTTAGTCACACAAGACATGAAAAGTATTTCGTCACAGATTGGGTTTAATGTGGGTTAGGATATGGGTTCAAATAAATGAAGAGGATTATCATTTAACCAAAATATTTACAGAATGCAGCTTTAGTGGCCAGGATCATGACATGCAGTATTGAAAACGATCAATTTAAAAGACTTTTCCTACAAGGTTTACATTTTAAACATTTTGAAAATGTGATCTGATGATTAGATAAACATTTTGACACTTCAGCCGTTTGGTTTGACTATCATTTTTCAACAAAAAAGAAATGGGTTTGATTCGTTCTTTGTTATGAGATAAGGTGTATTGTTTCATGACCAACAATCTCTACTACCATCCCTGTTTTTGTGGTATCTCTGTTGGCTGAGATCCAATACTTGGTAACAAACCTAATTACTATCCCATTTTTTTTTTGTGCAACCCTACATCATTTCTCTGTCCTTAGCTGACACAAATTGGGATACAGCTCTAAATTGGGCTTGTGCTGTTCGCTGGTCCATTAAAACTGGCTAAAAACTCAGCTAATACTTACAGGGAGCTTGAATGCTTTTTGCCAAGAGTTTGGTCAATAATTGAGTTTCAGTTTTGCTTTACCGTTTGCGAGACTCCGGGTCTGGGTTGGTGTTGTCCACGACGACGCTGCGGCCCTCCTTCAGAGAACGCTCACATAATGTCACACAGTTCTGCCACGAACCGAGTGTGTCCTGATACAAAGCATCAATAGTGCTCGGTCAGAACATGTCAGGGAAGACTAACAGAAGTGCCCACAGTATGGTTTAAAAAAAACAGTACTCAAATGTGTCTAAACCGTGAGGTTCTCATCAAGCAAACATGACACTTTTTCACACTACTAACAACTGAAAAGATCAAAATGGTTCCCTTTAATTCATATAGGCTAATCATTAAAGATGCATTTGTTGGTCTATGAATTTACAAGACATTTGTTACAATATACACCTCGAAAATGTAGCACAGTAAAAGTATACCACTCACCCTGTTGACGTAAACATAGCCTTTGGGAACGACGTGGGTGTTGAAGAACGTGGATTTACCAGCTGTGCAACAAGGAAGCAGAGGAAAGAATATTAGATTTAACTGCTGGGAAACCTTGGTGGGAGGAGAGGACAGAAAAGGTGAAATATACACAACCCTTCTCCTCTTACATGCAGGGAAGCCCACCGCAACAATGACTTCTGTCTTGCTGGAGGTTAATGAGGCAGTCGGTGGGTCGTAGAGTCTCGCAGTGGAGTCAATTGTCCTCTAAAGGTCCAGGTAAAGAAACATTTTTAACAGAAATACAGAATCAGATCAAACCTACAAATGTAATGTCATAACTCAATTGTACTCACAGGGTCAAAATGAGGCAGGCTGTAGGGGGCGCTCTTCCATCCCAGGAAAAACTCCTCTGGGGTGTGAAACTGCAACCCAATGTTCAGAGCAAACTAGAAACACAAGAAGGAAGACTGTAGTGGGTACATAATGCTCACATTGTGTCAGTGTTGTGCAACTTTTCCACATTAATGGGTCATAAGAAACATTGAGTCATATTCATTTACATGATGTTTTAATGACATTTAAGAAAAAAACATAAAACGTCATGGCAGTAGGAGGAAGAGGAGGAACTGCACAAAGTGGTAAACAATAATCAGAGTAAAAATCTTGAGTCTTACTATTCTGTCACTGCAGGAGAAATCCTTCTTCTTCCTCCCTGGAGCCCAGTTCTCCGGCCTACCTGCAGCATCTGTGCACAAAGGTAAAGTCATAAGCTGTGTGCATGTTTGGGATTTTGAAGTTGTTAATTCTTCATCATTTCTTGGCTTGGGGGATAAATTCAGATCTGGGCATCAAATTGGCTGTTAAAGGGGACATAGTCTGCTCTTTTTCAGGTTCATATTTGTATTTTGTGTCTCTACTGTGACATGTTTACATTATTTAATGTTCAAAAAGCTCTTTATTTTTCTCATATTGCCTGTGCTGCAGCACCTCTTTTCACCCTCTGTCTGAAACAAGAGCCCAGTCTGCTCTGATTGGTTAGCTGGCCGGCTCTGTTGTGATTGGTCAACCGCTTAGAGATGTCCCGCCCATAATCACGTACAATGTGTTGGAGCGCTAGCCGAAAGAAGTGCAACAGTTACATAGTGATATCACAGGCGGGGGGGGACTCTGGAGGAACTTTGGGGCCTTTGTAGACCGTTTACATGCACACAAAAACCTATATACACCATACTAGAGGAAAGGGAAAACCCGAAAAACCCTTTAAGTGTAGTTGTAGTAGTAGTATTAGGCCAATAACAATGAACACAAAGTTATGTTTTGAAAACAAAAATAAATACATGTGTATGTGTCCTTGTCTGTCATACCGTACCTAATAACTGGGAACACATTTGGCAACCTTTAAGCATAGGATGTTTATCACTATGGCAACATTACTTCACACCCACCCTAACTCACCTCCCACATAAAAAGTCTGTGTCTTGTCAACAGTCACGCCATCATTCGCCTGAGTAGGAAATACAAGCAAAGACAAAGAGAGACTATTGTCAAACCTGAAGATATAGCTCTGGGGATGGGTTAAAGGGCGGCTCCTATGACTCAGCTTAAATGAGTGTGCAGAAGTTTAGACTTTGCACAATGCAAACCGTCTCTGAGATTTACTTCAGAAATAACATGGGTGTGTGTTCATGTGACTCCGAAACATTTACCTTGTCGCACAAGTGATTCCACATTCCCATCACTGGTTTCCTGTATATACCAGAACCGGCTGCTACAAACACCTGAAACACAGACAATGTGGGGATACAATAACCTTTTTTTGTACAATATTAGGAAAAAGATTGCTTAATTAATTTAATTAACACACAACATGACCAACCTGCACAGGTAGCTGCAGCTTGGTAAGGATGTCCTCTACTTTAGACTTGAAGACTTCTGGTCTCAGTTTGCCTCTAGCAATGCCCATCTGGTTGGTGAAGAACACCACCTATAAAAACAAAGACAGGGTAGACTAGGAACAGTTTTGTAGCATATTTCACAGGTTATCATCTTCTAAACTGCACTATATTGTAATTGCAACTGTTGCGTCTTGACTCTCACCTTGTATCCTTTCTTAAGCAGGCTGGCCAGCCTGGGCTGAATCTCAGGATACAAAATCCTGTAAATTAAATACATAAATAAATATGACAATCCATGATATGATGAGTAACTATTTCAAATAGTATATTAAGGAGTGCAGACATACCTCCAGTCATCTGGCGAAGTGGGAAAGACTTTACCAGACTTGGTAGTGATGATGCAGCCATCTATGTCAAACCCAGCAATCTGGAGAAAGACAACGAGAGGAATGTTCCGCGATTACACATCAGCTGCACCAGAAATCATGTAAGGTGATATAAGTAAAACCTTATCAAGATCAGAAATTGGTTTATTGCCAAGTAGGTTTTCCCTTACAAGGAATTGGCCTTGGTGTTTTGGTGCAGAAAATAATCAATTAAAATATGAAAAGGAAATTAAAAAACACTGGAAAAAATATGTCGACACAATAAAAAATGACCACAACATATATATTCAATTTGACAATTCGAATCAGGAAGTGAACAAATGTTTTTATAGTGGACATTTCTGTGTTTAAAGAACAGCTGTTAAGGTTTTATTACGTCACTTCCTGTGACTAAAGATGATGCCGTACTAAACTCAAAATTAATGTAACTACAGCTAATAATTATTTGTATTATTGATTAAAAGAAGGAATATTTCTGGATTTTCAATATATAAGAAATATATGTACTGTCCAACCAATAGTCCAATAAGTTATTACATTTACAATGATATTAATATTTTTTTCTTAGCTTATTTGTGCAACTAATACATTAACAGACTTATCGTTGATTGATCTACAGTGGCAGAACTAGCATTTGCTAAAATTGTGATTTTTATTCAATGGCTGATTTTTAAGATAACAT